AAATTGTGTTGTATCATATTATTTCAAATTAATGTGAAAAACCCCTCATCCGTAACACAATCAATTTAGTTAATTATGTCGAATGACCTAACACTAGTTTATGTCTGTTTAGCGCGAGCAATTACTTTTAATCCAATTCACATCCACAAAAAGTAAAATAATATAGGTCAAAACCATCCCAGTCAATATATGAAAAAAAATTAAGAAAATTATATTTTATAATCCTAAGTCTCTCTCTTAGTACAACAAACTCGAGAAATAAAAAAAAATGATAATCTCAAAAAACATAGGATATCAAATTACTTCACAATTCTAATCAATAAATTCTGCCATCATTGGTCTCTCTTCATCCTTGTAATCTCGATCACTTAAATTGTTAGCACATAAAACCATCTTGCTTCATCCTAGAGTGGTCAAATGCAGATTGCCAAAGTTAAGGTTTAAGAATAAATAAAAACATGACGTAGATGTCTACCAAAGTCAAATGAAATTGGACCTCAAAAGCAAAGAAACTACTATGAGTGACGACCAAAAAAAAAAAAAAACTGCACTTCATAATGCTATTGTCTCCCAAAGCCGAAACAAATTGTCTGGTCCTGAACGCATTGCGTTACTTGTAAAAAATGAACAAAAAAATCTCCAAAGCAACAACACATATACAAATACATCAGAAAAAAAAAATATTGAGAGAATTATATCAGATACAATCATAACCAGCTCAATGTGTTATAATATAGTACCTAAAGGCAATGACTAACACAAAAAATAATTAGTGAATAGAAAGAAATAAGAAAATCACCGATCGACATGGATATAAATTCCAAAAACAATTGAGTCACTTTTTGAATCTACTGAATTCATAAAAATCCTATTGTCCAAATTTTCTGAATTCAAAATAAAAAAATCATGCGCATGGTTTCCCAAAAAAAAATCAGCCAAATACTNCTTTTGAATCTACTGAATTCATAAAAATCCTATTGTCCAAATTTTCTGAATTCAAAATAAAAAAATCATGCGCATGGTTTCCCAAAAAAAAATCAGCCAAATACTATTTATACTTTATGGCATTTGATCAAATGCCTTACAGGCGTTGTGCGATGTGAGTGTGCTAGGAGAGAGAAGCAGTGACAACAGAGAGAGAGAGAGAGAGAGAGAGGAGAGTGAAGAAATAAAATCCCGAGTGAAGAATTGAAATTATCCCAATGTCACGTATGAAACAATATATCTGCATCAATATATCAGTGCCTAAAGGTTCTATAAAAAAAAAAAAAAATGCAAATAGTTGTTAATGACTAAAGGTTCTATACAACCAAAAAAAAAAAATCTTCAATTACAGTAAATAAAAAAGAGAGACAACTAGACTAAAAGTTGATTGTCAATAAACTTGCAATTGTCATTGAAGTAAATCTAAAAACATTTTGTCCACAAATACCTCTTCAATCAAGCATACCTCTCAAGCTTCCATGATATTTCTTTGAACACACTCGACTATCACAAATTCTTTTCTCCTATCATAAAACATTAGTTAATCAATTTAATAATCAAAACCTCAAACATTGAAAAAAGATATGCCCATTTGTTAGAAAAGAAATACTGAGAGAACTATATCAGATACAATCATAACCAGCTCAATGTGTTATAATATAGAACCTAAAGTCAATGAGTAACACAAAAAAAAAAAAAACAGTGAATAGAAAGAAATAAGAAAATCACAGATCGACATGGGTATAAATTGCAAAAAATAATTGAGTCACTTTTTATATCTAATAAATTCATAAAAATCCTATGGTCCAAATTTTCTGAATTCAAAATCAAAAAATCAANGAAATAAGAAAATCACAGATTGACATGGGTATAAATTGCAAAAAATAATTGAGTCACTTTTTATATCTACTAAATTCATAAAAATCCTATGGTCCAAATTTTCTGAATTCAAAATCAAAAAATCAACATCCAATCTAGTATAAATTCTTCTTAGCAACAATATACCATTATATCACTCGTATGTGCGCATACTGTCATTTTTGACTTTTTCCTCTTCACTATGTGTTATTGCTTTGGAGAGTTTGTCCTGATATAATCTCCAACATTCAGGTTATTCAAATGAATATCGATGGATCTGCTCGCAGACAGATTGCTCAAGAACTCAAAATTAATCAATCATCACAATGTCAAAATGTTGTGGTGTGTTACCAGTCCTTTTATGAGAATGGTGCCATTTCTATAATCTTGGAGTACATGGACGGGGGTTCTCTACCAGATTTCTTGAAACATGTCAAAACAATTCCAGAACCTTGTCTTGCTGCCATCTGTAAGCAGGTGGGAAGTATTCATTCCACATTTTTGGCCAAAGGAAATATATAGTAGTCATTAGCATTAACATACTTCACATGGTTCCTTTTTTGTTTCTTTGTTCTTTTCTTTTTAATTCAGGTGCTCAAGAGGAAGTGGTACCTTCAGCATGAAAAACATATCATTCACAGGGACTTAAAACCTTCTAATTTATTGATAAATCACAGAGGGGAAGTCAAAATCACTGATTTTGGTGTAAGTGCAATAATGGAGAGTACCTCTAGACAGTCTAACACTTTTGTGGGGACATACAACTATATGTTTGTGAGTAATTTATGCATACATGTTATATGCACAAAAGTACAATTTAAATTCATATTTTATATGAGTTTTCTCCTCGTGCAAAAAACTATTTATACTCTGTGGCATTTGATCGAACGCCTTATAGGCGTTGTGCGATCTGAGTGTATTGGGAGAGAGAAGCAGCGAGAAAGAGAGGAGAGTGGCCGCAGAGAAAGAGAATTGCTATCTAACATAAAAATTTGATAAAACTACCAACAAAGAAGCGTTAAATTATAGGAATTTTCAGCAAACCAAAACTCAGAAATTTCAGCGAGAGAGAAATAGAGAATTTTAGCGTGTACCTGGAATCAATTGGAGCAACGGAGAATTACAGCAAGGAGTCCGAGCGGTATGGGCAGTGGAGAGAGAGTCAGCAACGGTTTGTGTGTGTGAGTGTTTTTATGTGTGTTTTCTGCGTAGAGAGAGAGAGAAAAGAGGCGTGATTGAAAAAGGAGACTGAGTGAGGGAGGGAGGGAGGGAGAGAGAGAGACATTGTATGAGTGTGAGAGAGAAGTACACGAGCAATAGAGTTGTATATGAGAAGAAAGACTTGCTCAAATTTTTGAACGGAGAAAAATAAATTCAAACATCAATTAGGATTACATAATCAAAATTTTAAAAAAAAATGTTGCTAGGCAGGAAAAAAAATTTAATATTCATTGTAGATGGTTTGATCAAATTTTTGAGATGTTCTGAATCATTTTTTATGTTTAGATTACATTATTCATTGGATGTGTTTATGTTTTGTCTCAAAACGATCTGAATCTCTTTTTATCTTTTGGATTCAAACTTCAATCTACTTTATTATATAGATTAGTTGGCATCCCATGCGATGCAAGTAATTTACCTCTCCTGCCATCACCCTATTTCACCTTTTTTAACCATCATTTTATTAAAAGTTTGTTGATTAGTGAATTAAAATATTATTTGTTAAATGTAAGAAAAGTGAAGGAAGATGATCAAATTTTAAAAGATAGTGAGATATGCAATGAGTAGTAAATGAGCCAAATTGAAGAATTTGATTGGAGGGGTTAATTAAATATTTCATATATTATAATTAAAGCTATAGAAGAGTTAAAGTTTATTTTTAAGGTAAATTATAATTTACACCCTTTATCATATACACAATTCTTATTTGGTCATTAATGCACCAATTGCAACAATCAAGTACCTAGAGTTTTAATTGAGTTTTAATTTATTTTTTAATAAAAATTCATTGGAATAACATTCTATGACCAACACATAACTTGGGTAAAATGATATATTTGTCTGGTAAAAAATTTGTAACTAGTACGCTAAAAAACTTTACTCTCTTCATTTAATTTTAAGAAATAAAAAAAAATGAACAATATTATTGAGACATAATTTAAGAACTTATTGATTGTGACCATTAGATTGTCGAAAAGTCTCAATATTAAATTATTACTGTATCCCAACACTATCAATCCAACAATTATAATGCATTAAGTCTCTAAATTATGTCAAAATAGTATTAGTGTTACTCAAATGTTAACTTAAATTTAAGGGTTTTTCATACTTTGCACCCTATTTTTTTTTTTAATTTTCACTTTGTATATTTATAGATTTAATTTTTTATATTGTACCCTTAATATATCAAAAGTATTGTAATGCTACTCTTCTGTTAATTTTCATTAATTATTCCGTCAAAAGTCAATTTATTGACACTAAAAAAAATTAATGAAAAGTTAATAGAAAAAAAATATTGTAATATTTTTTATATGTCGAAGGTGTAATATAATAAATTTAATTTTCAAAAATATAAAATAAAAACTTTAAAATCTTTTAAGATGTAAAATGCAATTTGCCTTAAACTTAAATTTGAGTCAAGATTAGTAGAGATTTATTTATTTTTTTTGAATAGTCAAGACTAGTAGAGATGAAGTTATATTGTTAAGGATAAAATAGTCTTAAAAACAAAATGAGTATTTTTCGGCCTCTTTACTTTTATTACACAGAAAGCTAAAAAGTCTTGCGTCGCTCTATAACAAAATCAAGATCCTCTCTCTTTCTCTCTCTGTCTAAATTGTGACGTTCACGAGCAAGCACAAATTTGTTTAATGTTCATATTCAATTCAATCGAGCCAAAACCCTAATAAAATTGGAGAGACAGACAGAGAGTTGATGAATCTTGAAGCAGCAAACTGAGAGAAATAGACGAGTTTTGGTATTTAGTGGATGGTCTCATGGGTGCGGCGGGTTCGAGGCTCGAGAAAGCTCTCGGAGACCAGTTTCCAGAAGGCGAACGATACTTCGGCCTCGAGAATTTCGGAAACACTTGCTACTGCAACAGCGTTTTGCAGGTGTAGACTCGATTCCTTGGTTTTTTTTTTTTTGTTGTTGTTGACGTAACTGTGGATTTCTGATTAATGTTTGGTGATTTGGGTGGTCTTTATTGCCAATTGGGTATCTATGTATTGATGGGCTCCTTGGATTGTGATGATTTGAAATCAGATGTCTTTGTTTGATTTTTTATATTGGATTGATCGAGTTTTGAACTCTTGTAGTGTACCCTACCCATAAACCCAGCTTGAAAGTGAACGCATAGATTCATTGTTGATTGAATATTGATGCCCTGCGTAAAAGGGCAAGTCCTGTTTATCTCAATTTTTGTGTGATTATTAAGTTATTGCCAATTTTAGTCATACCGGGTGTCTGGTAGTTAGGGGGTATATGGGATTATCCCACCACCAAGGCCCCAGCTTGTTGAAGAGCTTATGTGGGACTGCCTTGCGTACTTATTAGTAGTGTCTTTTTCTCTTTTGTTTCGGTAATTCGTATGAATTAAGGATTATTGGGCATTAGTGATTGACTTGAGTTGCTTTTCATGTTCTGTAAGCTCATCCAGGTGTCTCAGACTTGTTGTAGAAGGATGTTTTATCTGGAATTCTAGTGTGACAGGTATCACCGTATCAGCGATACCTGTAGATGTGTTATTGTTGTCTTCCCTTTGAGCAATTAGGATTGACATTTTAAAGATTCTACTTAATTGACCTACCTTCCATTGTATGTGGAGTTATGGTATCTAATGCTAGAGAGTAGTCTTGNTTTAAAGATTCTACTTAATTAACCTACCTTCCATTGTATGTGGAGTTATGGTATCTAATGCTAGAGAGTAGTCTTGATTAATGTCATTGCGCACAGAGAGTAACTGCTCTGACATCATCAGGTATGAGTTTGGTGCCTGCTAATAATATACTTACCTATCAAAAAAGGTCAGCTATAGTGGGAACTGTAAAGTTGGATATTGATGGGTTTTTTTAATTGAAAGTTATGCCTTGTTACAGCTTTTCAAGTCTCAATTTTATTTTATTTTATGTCATTTTTTGTGCTTTTGGCTTACTTTTGTGCTAGAGGTTTGTAGACGTACACCTTTCTTCTTTCCTTTCTCTCAAGTCAATGAATATCCTTATTTGGTATTTAGAGAAATGTAATGTTGGATATTGATGGGTTTCTTTAATGGAAAATTATGCTTTGTTAGAGTTTTTCAAGTCCCAATTTTTTTTTTTTGGTTTCATTTTTTGGACTTTTGGCTTACCTTTGTGGAAGAGGTTTCCACACCTTTCTTCATTCGTCTCTCTCAAGAGACTTCCTGCTCTTAAAGATTTGGTACTTGAAATCTATTTATGCTTATACGTTGCCACAAGCTATTGGAAACTCTTGTGAAATACTTAAATTCTATGTTCATCGTGTATGTATAGATGTATAAATACACACACTAGTGAATGTCTCGTGCTACACATGGAATTTGTATTCTCCCCACCGCCATCTCTACCCCACCCTCCACCACCAACCTGATCCATCTCCCAGCCTACACACACTAGTGAACGCCTTGTGCTACACATGGAATTTGTGTTCTCCCCACTGCCACCCCTACCCCACCCTCCACCACCAATCCGATCGATCTCCCAGCCTAACAGTACTGCAAATTTATCAATTAATGGCTAAATTTTTCAAAAAAGTGTAAATGTAAAGTAGTTAACAAAGATGGTGGGAAAATCAACTATGAAGCAGTTAATAAAGATGATGGGAGTAGTTACATAGGACATATATGGAATAATTTAATTGGAGGANTTAACAAAGATGGTGGGAAAATCAACTATGAAGCAGTTAATAAAGATGATGGGAGTAGTTACATAGGACATATATGGAATAATTTAATTGGAGGAGACCAATGAATTTCTATTAACTAATTTAAAATTAGGAGAATTTAGTAGTTGGGGGCAAGGATCAAAATGTCGTGTCGACACGTCCGAAACGTCCGAAATNTGGTTGGGGGACTTTTCAAGTATTCTCTCCCCTATGGTTGTCTCTCTATATGTATATATTGGGATTATGTAACCTAGTTCTATTGTGGGCAGTCCAATCTTTTCATCAGCACTAAATCCTCTGAGATAATCTTCAGCAATAAGGTTTTTTCATGTCCATTTTTGTATATCTGCTCCATTATTATTTGGTTAGTATTTTTGAAAGCACTTGCTGTGCTTGAGAGCAAAAGTGAAAGCATCTTTTTTCCATGTACGCAGAAAACACTTAATCAATGTTAAACATATGATATTAAGGATTTGATTTGAGTAGGTTTTTCACCACAGCATATTGGGGTAATATAATTGTGCATTTTGGTGATGTTTTGCAGGCACTTTATTTCTGTGTCCCATTTCGTGAACAGTTACTTGAGTATTATTCGATGAACAAATACCCAAGGGAAGCAGAAGAGAATCTCCTAACATGTTTGGCAGAATTATTTTCGCAGGTAATAAATTTAGTAGGAAATGAGGTATTTCATATTTACTATTTAGGACCAATGGGCACCTCTGTACATCTAGTTTCGAGTGGCACTATACATTATCATTAGTTTGTTTGCTTTGTACAGCACTGCTGAGTCATTTCATTTGAAGTTCAGCGATTATTAGTTTAAACATTTTCTATGTATGTAGTAGAGTTTGGTTTCTGACTTTCCTTTATTGGCAAATTATTTTTAGCTTTTAGATTCTGCAGCTTTTTTGTCTTAGATACCTACCTGGGAAAAAAACCAACTTTTTTGCCTTAGATGGAGCCTTCTTGAAATCGTATTATGCGGTGCAAGAAGGTGCAATCGATTTCTTGAATGATTGAGAGATTATTCTTTAGTTCTATCGATCGTTGGGGCAATGGTAAGACCATAAATATAAGTTAGTGTACCTGTACCTGTACTNAAGAAGGTGCAATCGATTTCTTGAATGATTGAGAGATTATTCTTTAGTTCTATCGATTGTTGGGGCAATGGTAAGACCATAAATATAAGTTAGTGTACCTGTACCTGTACTTGTACCTGGTTGTAATTTATTTTGTAACTATGACAACCATGTTTAGATTTTGTAGTTACTGACTTTGGTTTTTTTTTTCTTTCTTTCATGCAGATAAGTTTGCAGAAGAAGAAAACAGGTGTAATTGCTCCAAAACGCTTCGTACAGACATTGAAGAAACGAAATGAACTTTTCCGTGGGTACATGCATCAGGTCTGTTTTCAATATGAAAAATATATGCATTATGAAACTAGAATTTTTCTTTGGAGCATCCTCATCCTCTTCCCTTATATAGGCCTCTCTTCATCTGTAACTTCTGAAAAAGATTCAGCAAACGTATCACATCTAAAAAAAGGCAGTCCCAATGCCAAAGGCTCCTACCACTGCTAGGTTTACATTTGTATGCATGCAAAGAGGTTGTTTCAACAATGTCTTGAACCCATGACAAAATGGAGCAGCCTTGTCGCTGCCCTCAAGCAAACTAATCACTTCTGTGATGATCAATTGCTTGACCGGTGATGATGTTGGCCTATGAATGGCTAGATTTCCAAATGCTACACCCATTGGGTTTGGATAGCTCTAAAACTCAATATTAACCCTCTGATTAAGATCATCACAGTGCCACAAGGCCCAAACTCATATCAGGCACATGACCTATATGAGTCTTGTTTGAATTCAATTTAAGCTTTCTTTCTGGCCTGAAATTGAGTTTAGCCGTATGTGAGCAAGGCATAGCTGTATGTTTAGTCTCCATGGTCATCTGTGTGTATGATACTAGGAAGATAAGTACTGCCTGGGGTTTGTATAAATTGCCTAAGTACAGTTGAAGCACGTTGAAGAAAAACTAACTACTGCATATGAAAACCCTGTCAAGGAGGATTGTAAACTTAAGATTTCTTATGTTTTCACTTTTCTTCATTTGGTCCTTCGCATGTGGCCCTTTGTAAAAGGGAATGGACACTTATTGAGACAATGTATATTTTTTTTTCCTTTTTTCAATCCAGTTGTTTCTTAATCTCAAAGAACAGTGATGTGATAATATTGTGTAGGATGCCCATGAATTTTTGAACTTTCTGTTAAATGATCTTGTTGACACATTGGAGAAAGAGTCACACCCAGCAAAAAGTTCACCAGAGACTTCATCTCCTGTAAGGCTTGCAAATGGGCAAAACAATGGTCAGGCAAACGGTGTAAAGCACGAGCCGTTAGTGACCTGGGTTCATAAAAATTTTCAGGTGAAGTTTTGTAAATTCNTCTCCTGTAAGGCTTGCAAATGGGCAAAACAATGGTCAGGCAAACGGTGTAAAGCACAAGCCGTTAGTGACCTGGGTTCATAAAAATTTTCAGGTGAAGTTTTGTAAATTCTATGGCTCGTCAATTGTCATCCATTCAGATATGATTTATGTTTACCTCCTTCACTGCATGTTTTAGTAGCGCAGCATATAAGTATTATACATAAGTAGTGCATGGGGTCCTCCATATCAATCTATCGTCTGGGTTGAAGGCACAATATCAACTGAAATAATAATAGACTATGGAACTGCTCTTGGTTAGTATGTATACTCACTGTTTTGAACCACATGTGCGGAAAAGAAACCTGTAATCTCCAGGTCATGACTTACGATGGTATATGTGGGATGTGGTCTTTTAGACGTGGCCTACTCTGTGGTGACAATGCCGATTAGTTTTGTTCAACTGTTCTTGATGCGATTAGTTTTGCTCGACTTTTCTTGATGCTTATACTAATCCAGGGTATACTTACCAACGAGACGAGGTGCCTAAGATGTGAGACGGTGACAGCAAGGGATGAGACATTCTTAGATTTGAGCCTGGATATCGAGCAGAACAGTTCAATCACAAGCTGCCTAAAAAATTTCAGTTCCATGGAAACTTTGAATGCTGAGGATAAATTCTTTTGTGACAAGTGTTGTAGGTGGGTGGCTTGTTTTTTTTGAAAAAAAAATCCATTAAACAGCAAACTAATTGTTTCGTTCCCAAATGCAGTTTGCAAGAAGCCCAGAAGAGGATGAAGATAAAGAAAACACCGCACATTTTGGTTATTCATCTAAAACGTTTTAAGTACATGGACCAGCTAAAACGGCACAAGAAATTGTGCTATCGCGTTGTGTTCCCACTGGAGCTGAAGCTTTGCGGCATTGTGGAAGATGCTGACTCTGAGTACTCCTTATTTGCTGTTGTCGTTCATGTTGGGAGCGGGCCCAGCCATGGGCATTATGTTAGCCTCGTGAAAAGCCACAACCACTGGTTGTATTTTGATGATGAGAATGTGGAAATTATTGATGAGTCTGCTGTTCAAAGTTTCTTTGGATCTGCTCAGGAGTACTCAAGCAACACAGATCATGGCTACATTCTTTTCTATGAGAGACTTTCTGCCAACACCTACATCTGATAGAAGGTACTAAATTTATGATGATATATCTATTTCCTCAAGCAGTGGAGGGTGTTTTTTCTACCCTTTACATGTACAGTGGTTGGTGAAAATAGACTCTCCTGTTTAACAATAAAACGAGTGTAAATCTCAACTAAAAGTTTCATGGAAACTGTTTCTGAACTTTAATAACAATAGGTAGTTATCATAGAAATGCAATATGATTGCACTGAACTTTGCTGCTCAGTTATATATTATTTGCTGAAAAAATCTGTGGCTCTGTATGTGTGATGGAATTGAATGAAGAGCAGGGAATATATGTGCTGATAACAAAGAAGAAAAAACAGAGCAGTGAACAGTCTTGTTTTTGCATACCAAGTTGTGAAGAGGTGTGTTGATGATTATTTTTCGACACGAAGATTACAATTCTGACATTTGTAATTACCAAAAGTTGTAATGTGAAGTTCTAACTCAAAAGTTGNAACAGTCTTGTTTTTGCATACCAAGTTGTGAAGAGGTGTGTTGATGATTATTTTTCGACACGAAGATTACAATTCTGACATTTGTAATTACCAAAAGTTATAATGTGAAGTTCTAACTCAAAAGGGTCTAAATTATAATTGAATTTGGTGCAAGTTACTAGCCTATTAAATTATGATTGATTTTAAAATATTGTAATTGATTACGATAAATACTATCTGTAAAAAGTTAAAACTACTACCAACAAAAGTCAAGTTATACTTTGTTAGTTGAATAGACAGGTTCAAAGTACGTGGGTTCAACAATTTATTAAGCAAAGAAAAAAGGTTCTTGAATTTTAAAATGGAGAATTATTAATGGAATCCGTGGGACGTGGCTTGCTGCCTTGAAAAATCATTAAACATGCCATATACAACATCATAGAAATCATAGACTTTTTTTTGGTAAATTGAAGTCTTTAAGGNATTAAGCAAAGAAAAAAGGTTCTTGAATTTTAAAATGGAGAATTATTAATGGAATCCATGGAACGTGGCTTGCTGCCTTGAAAAATAGACATTTAGAAGGGCATTAAACATGCCATATACAACATCGTAGAAATCATAGACTTTTTTTTGGTAAATTGAAGTCTTTAAGACATTATTTTGGTTTATTGCGATTCAGTTGACCTGTATTTTTTTTCTGTCTTTTGGGCTTGGTCAACACTCAAAAAGACAAATAACTGAAAGTCTTGTTCAAACAAGCCCTTTTCAACAATCTGCTTCATGAATTTAAAAAAAAAAAAAGTTAATGTACTATTTCAACAGATCATAAACGAATTTGCTTGTTGCTAGCCTTGCAGTCATTCATCAACTTCAAGGCTTTGAAAGCTTGACAAATTGACTTTGGAGAACCCTTCTTGGACTTAGCTGGTCCATAAAAGCAGAGTACACAATATGTCTAGTAGTCTATTAGGAGTTCGCCAAGCGGAGGAACCGGTTAATACTTTCTTCTCGGTTCCTTCTTTCATAATTTAAGCTCGGAGAAGAGATAAAAGGGTTCTATGGACAATATGGTCAAAAATCCATANAAAAAAAAAAAAAGTTAATGTACTATTTCAACAGATCATAAACGAATTTGCTTGTTGTTAGCCTTGCAGTCATTCATCAACTTCAAGGCTTTGAAAGCTCGACAAATTGACTTTGGAGAACCCTTCTTAGACTTAGCTGGTCCATAAAAGCAGAGTACACAATATGTCTAGTGGTCTATTAGGAGTTCGCCAAGCGGAGGAACCGGTTAATACTTTCTTCTCGGTTCCTTTTTTCATAATTTATGCTCGGAGAAGAGATAAAAGGGTTCTATGGACAATATGGTCAAAAATCCATAATAGTTTGACCACACAATAACCAAATTTATTATCTTCATACATAAGGATACTAGATTACCTAGGAAAAAATATTTAAAAATCATCACAAACTTCCCTTTTTCTTTTCTATTGCAATTTTTGGTTTATTATATGATAATTTTTAAACTTACCATATATAGAAAAGAAATGAAAAGAGATTGATTAGAAACATCATCTGTTACGTCAATGACACCAAAGAGATATTAAATGAATGAAACTNTAGATTACCTAGGAAAAAATATTTAAAAATCATCACAAACTTCCCTTTTTCTTTTCTATTGCAATTTTTGGTTTATTATATGATAATTTTTAAACTTACCATATATAAAAAAGAAATGAAAAGAGATTGATTAGAAACATCATCTGTTACGTCAATGACACCAAAGAGATATTAAATGAATGAAACTTCAATCAGCTGTAACTACTCCTTGTATTTTTAAATTTTATTTACGTTCAGAAATTACAGCTTTGCACAAAACAATGGAATGGAACTGGTCAATGATTCAGATCAAAAAAAGGAATATTGGACATTGACGATCCTCGTGTGAATATCTTGCTAAGAAAATTATACAAAAATCAATTTTCTATTTTTTTTTTTTTGGATTACAATATTCCACTAAGAGCAAGCACATTGTAAAACTGCATTATGAAAAGCGCATTAACACAACTTCTACATGAACAATCAAGGAGGAAAATTGCAAAACTTTCCAACTGAGAAGGTGAGGGGGCTCAAAATTCGGCCAACACATGAGCTAGGCATGGCGATGCAACTGTTCCGTTTAGTCATGTATGTATGGCAGCAACAGAAAAGGAAGTCCAGCCGCCCCTGGCCTTTGGGGAACCAAATTGCTTTTCAGTCAAGACCCTTGGTGCCAAAGTAGATGAAAATTTTCCTATGGTTGCAACATCGGACTTTAAACCATGTAAGTCATTCCCACCTGAATCAGATGGGAGTGGGGCACACTCAAATTTGCAGTCCCCCTTCTGCAGTTCTTTCTCAGAAAACCATAAAAATAATTTATGACCAGCTTCTTAATGAACCAGGAATCCTTCCTTGCCCTAATATTTCCATGACCAAGAAGATAAACCATCCCAGATTCCTTGGCCTTGCGTATAAAAGATAGCTCCTTTTCGAGAGACTGCTCTGCATCAGGCATATTTGGATCTGTGGGCGGCTCTGATTTCACCTCCTCTGAAGTGCTTGCTTCTGAAATGGGCTTGCTTGTGTCCTTGAACTCAGTCAGGAGAGGAACACCGAGTGAGTAGACACTGCCATTGGGAGCTATTAGAAATCTTGAGAAAGAGGACTCTTCTTCAGAATCTGAGTCGTCATCACCATCACTCTCCAATGACCGTTCTTGGGCTTCCCTGCGAATGAACTTCTCAAGACTCTCAATCAGCAGCTGCTCGAAGGTCTGGTGGTTTTCTTTGCGAACATCCTTGTAGCCATACCTGTTGGGAAAGTGATCCAACGGAACCATAAGGTACAAGGGTCTGCCTAAAGGCAGGGCAAAATTAGAAAGAAAAAAGATATTTTTGCATAGAACATATGTTGACATGTACACACACTTCATACAAATACAAACAGATTAATTATATTTTTATTCGTTAACTCCCTATTTAACAGCCCAGCAGGCATGGAAACGAAAAACTCAAAATTTTCACAAGCCACCCAATGACCAAATACTACATGAGCAAAGTTTTCCATTGTCAGCTCAGCAATTGAAGGGAGCACAGGCGAGTGTTCAAAATTATCTAAAAAGACAGGATACTATACTTGCAAGAATCGAATATGCTTACCTGGCAACACAACGAAAAATGTGGTAGCTTTTTGGGCAGACCCGTCGAAACAGGAATCTTTCACTCTGAGGCACTGCAGGAACAGGAACATACTTTATACACACGAAGATGATCATGGAATGGACAGCTGGAAGGGTGGTCAGGAAATGTCCAAATATTGCTGGTATGCCCTTCGCCAGCTCATTGTAGAGTAAGCCAATGCCAGGAGCTCTGACTGTTCCAAGATTGCAACCCAGTTGCCGTAACAAGTCCATCGACATTTTTTGCTTGACTTCAGTTTCATACTTAATCTTGCTCCCATAATTCCAGATGTACATTATTAGAAATGTGACAATGGCAAACACCAATATAATCCAACTTCCGTCTACCACACTCCATAAAACTGATGAGAAAAATGTCAGCTCCAACCCCAAGAAAACAATAGCAAAAGTCAGCACAATAATGATGTTCATTTGCCAAATGAGAAGCATAACAATAGTTACTAAGACTGTAGTCATCATCATCACTCCAAGCTCAGCAATGCCTGTAAAATAGTATTAATATTAGACAAGACAATAGCTTGGACAGATCTCCTTTGAAAGAAACAATATTATGATCAGAAATTCCCAAGTAGTTTTCAAAGTAGAGTAAAGTTTTCATAGAAGCACAAACAAAAATGGCTGTGTTAAGAAATTGAACAAGACAAAAAATTCAACAATTCAAAGAGAAGCATAAAGAAGTCCCACCATATGCATTTCCAATCTCATAAATGTTTGAGATGGAGCAGACTAACACCAGAGAAAATACAAGCAGAAACCAGTTCATGATGGGGATATAAATCTGACCCATGAACTTCCGTGATGTATGAATGATTTTAAGGCGAGGGAAACAACCAAGTGCTGTTGATTGCTTAACACAAGAGAAAATGGCTGTCGTCATTGCCCGACTGGCTATTAACGCAGCAATGTTAGCAATAAGGAGGACTGGCCAGAAAGCACCACCTGCAGACAGAATGCATAACATCTTTTCAATTCATACTTTCCAAAGATAGGTATGAAAATAAAAAAACCCCTGGCACGAGTGAAGATTGTACCGTCTAAAGAAACAGGTTAATTAAATGCACACATAAACTGTGGGTCTCCGGGGAAGGAATGGATTCAGTTCACCTTTCAGACCGAGACTTGGAACTTACTTGGAACAGAAGAGAAGAAAGCTTGGGTCGTATCACTATGGTTTTCCATAAGGTATGCAGCTTGACCAAGGTATCCCAGGAGAAGACAAGGCAGTACGAGAAGCACAAAGGTAAGCTGCATACAATAAGTATCAGATTTTTGGAATACATTCAGCCAATTTAAACACCAAAAATCAGTGGAAAACAAAAGAACCAATAGGTTTCAAAACACCAGTAATACAATGAGAAATGTCTATCATACAATTAATCCAGCAACCACTAGAAATTACTGCTTTACCTGAACTGATCTCACAGAAAAGTAGCAAAGATCTGCAAACATAGCCTCAGAACCTGAATTACGCAACTGATCATCAGAAATAAAAACAGAGAAAAGGAAATGGCGCAATTATGGATGAGAACCAAGAATGTTATATTGCCCAAAAACGAATCAAAATCAACACGTATGCATCCATTATTCTAGACTAAAATGTCAACGCTATATACCAATATTTCCTATCACCTGTTTGATTGCTAAAGTCTGTCCTTGATATGTACTTTAATTAGAAATGTCAAAGCCAATTAGCATCACTGCATGGGAGTTCATGGCTCACTGCCTAAAGAAGGAGAATAAGAAGCCAAAGGGATGGTTAAGTCGAGCACTAAAAAACTAAAATAAACAAAATTCAATATCTACAAGCAACAAGCACCATTTTATTCTTAAAATGCACATGAAACTTTACAAGGGGGTCCAGGGTTTTCCAACCACAATATGAAATACTATGCATAGGAGCTTCTATTCTACTTAAAAGTCTAAAACAATTACATTTTCACTAAATTGATTGTTGACATAGATGTTTTATGTTATTGTTTGAGAGTTATTGTTAGGTATTCAAGAGTGTCCTTACCGACCTTAACACTTGTCTTGATTCCTAATGAGAAATAAGCTTATACAGTTCTAGAAGTAACTAGTGTTCGACACTTTTCCTTATGCATGTGTTGCTCGTAGAATGAAAAATCCCATTTTCTTACTCTTTTCCTCCAAATTCATCTGATGGCATCATATCCAGTGCACAAGACTCCTACGTATAACGGAGTTTGGGAGAGGTAGGTGGTACATAGTCTTACCCCCATTTTTGGAAGGTTGATTCCCACTTTCGAACCAACAACGTATCTCTTGGGCGGATGAGCACTTGCCAGTTTTTGAGCATTGACTATCATGGCTTACTAACAAAATTCAGACCTCAAATTTTTATACCAAGAATTCAACCACTTTATATAACCAGTAGTGACGAATAATCTAAGACATTCAGAATAAAAGTCTTGTGGTCCTTGTTTGTGGAAGACAAAAAAAAAAAAAAAAGCATTAAACTACAATTTACAAGAAGGACAAAATCAACAGGAAAAACAACTGCATATTCTTAGTCAATAGCTTTATGATATCCAGGGGTAACCATCTTAATTATTTCACATCAGGTGGAGAAGAAAAAAAGGTGTTGCCTTGAAAATAAGAATCATGGCAGGTAAACACAGTAGTCTAAATATGTATTCCACAAGAATGAAACAAAACAGTTTATAAGAAAGAGCCATAACAAAGCTACTACATTAACTTCAAGAGTCAAGTAACTTATCTCTTCCCCCCCTCCCACCCCCTCTAGAAACACTATCCCTTAAACTGAAAAAAGTAGAACAGAATTGAGATAGATGAACAGCAACGCCAGATGGATACAAAATTTAAGGCTTTGGTGCATATATATACACATATATATAGGAAGCTGCAGTTTGGAACAAGACAATAGCAAATGATGTCAGAAAGTTTGTACGTGAGCAACAAACAACACTCATGATGGCCTACAATTCATAAGGAAAAGGAACCCATTAAAACCACTAATTCAACTCTTGTAATCAGCCACTAATTATAAGCATAAGATTTGCTTTAATCGAGCTGAGCTTTTCTTGTTCTGCTCGATGAGTAAAAAGGCACCCGGTGCACGAGACTCCTGCAACTACCGAGGTTGATTTTTTTATCCCTAAGTAGTAGTTGAGTTGAATTTAGCTGATTTATAGAAAACTTAAACAGAATAGTCCGCATTCCTTTCTGGGTTGAGTGTCATATTGGCCGCCTAGCCCCATTACATGCACACAGCTATGCAAGTTGGGCTCAAGTACGAAACTAGGTGTCGGATTTCATAAAACCCCCAAGTGCTAGGATACATGAAAATGGGCATATCATTTAATCTGCCATGTTACTTAGATTGTGCGTTGTTTTGGTACGTGACAAAGGTGTGGGTACACAGTACGATACTTTTTTAGGTACGTGATACAATTGGGTAAACTTACTGGTATGGTATTTTGGGTCATAATTCGTTTTGGAATTCTTTTCTAGATCGTTTTCACTACTGTATAATACTATATATCATAGAATATAAATAAATACTAAGTCAATTATCATTTATCATACATTTGTGCTCGATTTTCTATTACCTAAAATAATATATAATTATATATCTATATACACGTAGTCAATTAGTATGTATTTTATACTTATGCTACATGTTCTAAAACGAATCGAATTAGGCTTAATATTATAATTTGGGATCGTACATTTTTGGTGATCTAGATCGCAAATCCACCCAGTTTGGGATCGATGTACCCAGATCATGGGTCATCAGGAGTTTAGTGATTTCTGGTAACTAGTGCTGTAAAACTCGGCCCGGCCTAGTGAGTTTACCCGATGAACCGGTGCCTAAACCGGGCTAGTTCACCATTTGGATCGTTTAAACACCAAAACTGGAGTAAACCCAGTGGACCGGAAAAAAACCAATAAAACAGTTAAAATTGAATTTTGGCCCTTTTGGGCATTTTGCCTTGCCCTAAATTATTTTGTCAGCCCCTTTCTTCGTGACGGTGGAGTGGTGGACAATTGGACGATGAAAGTTTCAACCAGCGTGAGTCTCTCTCTCATAGTTTCTCAGTCTCTCTCTAGTCTCTGCAGTTGTGTGCACTGCGAGCATGAAAGGGATTAAGCCAGCTATAAAGGACTTGATCGAAGACTCAAAGAGGAAGGAACTTTCGATTTTGAAGGAGAAAGTTGTTTCTCCTTCATTGCTTCAGAACTCCATCAACATCGAGGCATCGACAACAACCACCAGGCACTAACAACAGGTACATACTGACTCATACTGTCTCTCTCTCTCTCTCTCTCTAGGTCTGTCTACTCTCTTTGATTTTTGATTTTGTATTTTGTATACATTGAATCTTTGATAATTGATAATGCTACATTTTATACATTGAAGGAAAAACTTTGATGAGATGTTGAAATTTTTTTGATAATGCTATAATTTTTTATATGTTGAAAATCCAAAGTTGATTANTTGATTTTTGATTTTGTATTTTGTATACATTGAATCTTTGATAATTGATAATGCTACATTTTATACATTGAATGAAAAACTTTGATGAGATGTTGAAATTTTTTTGATAATGCTATAATTTTTTATATGTTGAAAATCCAAAGTTGATTATGATTGTGATGGTGATGAAGCTATTGAAAAGCCTAGAATTATGGGCTCTATTTTTGATTATTTGCAAATTTGTTGATGTAAGAATTTTGTAAGCTTGAATCTATACTTCTAATAATGTTGGGATGAATGCATTGGATACATGTTTGATAATTTTTCACTACTTAACTTTACATATTTGATGCTATTTTCATAATTATTGTGATTTTTAGCCTATTTATTATTGTTTATAATAATTTATTATTTTTTTATTATATTATCGGTCCAACCAGTGACCCAACGGTTGAACCAATGATCCGTTAATCCGGTCCATTTTCCGGATTCATGTCCGAACCGGATTTTAAAACTATGCTGGTAACTATCGGCTTTTTTTATTGCTATAGACTAGANGTCCATTTTCCGGATTCATGTCCGAACCGGATTTTAAAACTATGCTGGTAACTATCGACTTTTTTTATTGCTACAAACTAGGAGATGTTTTTCTAGAAATGGAGGTTCTACATGACAACTTCACTAATTTTACAATTGCACAAAGCAAATCAAAAAGGAAATCTATTCATCAAGTTATAATTTTCAGTTTTGTTTTCGACAGACATGCCTGCTAGATATTTGACAAACACATATCCTACCCCCGAATTATTGGTTGTGCATGGTATATGGATTTTATCCTTGATAAAGATGATACTCCCCCAAGGGACATGCATGGTATCCTGATATGGCTACCTCCATATCACTTCATATCCCTCAGATCAAGGAAACAACTTAGACAAAAAAATTTCAAAGAAAAACCTCAATATAACGGGTAGCTACATCGCTAGTACATAGAGACCCCAGAAAATATCTGACTTACCCAAAAATACTACTTCCTGCCCATAAGATTACACACGCACACACAAAAAATAAATAAGCAAAAACAAGAAGACATTTCGATTTCCTTCGGAAAAAAATGTATCGGAATGAACTTTAGTTACAATGGTAGCATCTGAAACCCCACCTGATATTGGGGAAGAGTGACCAGATACGAATTTTCAAAACATAATGTTTACCTGTTGCACACAGAAGACAGCCCCCAAGAGAACGCCAAGCATTAGTTGAGTTTCTATTGAAGAAGTAATATATGTGAACTGGATTGAATGCCCTCAAGACACTGGTGTCATATTTTACAAGGTTGTAAACGCCAATTCCCCCAAGAGAACAAAACCATATGAACAAGGCAGGGCCAACTACAATCCCCACTTTACTTGTGCCATACTTCTGTACACTGAACAAAATTACAAGAAATGCAACCGAAATCATGACCACTTGATCTGCAACAGAAGTAAAACCCCAAAAAAAATGATTAGTATGGAAAACGTAGTATGATATAGAATTGCAAATTATATGCCATTAGCACCAATAACATGGCTTATACAGAAAATGGCAGCAAGACCAGTTATAACCCCAATCAACACCATATATCCATTGGCATAAGAACCAGATTCCAATTCTGATTTATAATCTGGTTATTATGAGTGAATCTAGTTTAAGCAATTTGAATGCAACATCGCATGTTCTTTTAACACAGAAATATTCTTTCTGGTAGGTATATTCATTCTTAATTAGGCTTCTGTGGAAATAATGAACAAATGCATATTAAATATCCTTAGTTTCATGATATTAGGCCAAGAATCAGATAGAAAGCCAGCCAACCCTTGGTTCAAATAGAATCAACAGCTATTAGTAGTTCTCTCTCTCTCTCTCTCCCTCTCCATTTGATAAGTAATCATTGGTGGCGCTTCAAAGGGGCCCCATTTACAACTTGTTATCCTTCGGTTAAGGATGCAAAAAAATAGTTTGTCCCCAACCACTCAAGCATCACACTTCACTGTGTCAATCACAAAAAAAAAAAAACTCCAATTTAACGTAAATAATGACAGATTATTACCAAACTAGACAGGAAACAGTATACATTGTCCAACTAATTCTCACATACGCAGAAGTTCTATTATTTTAATGTGGTAAACCCAACTTATGAAAAAGCATACGCAATCTATAGTTACAGCAATGACATCCAACACGATGTATTTGTTCACCCAGGACAAAAGTTAATTCATCCCACTAATATATTATGCCACAATGGGCAGCTTTTTCAATGACTGAAATACATCACAGTATGATTTTATCAAACAAATAAGAGAAGTAAACCGATGAAGAACTTATTGGGTAAGTGTGCTCTCAACAAGGAAGGCGTACTCTATGGCCAAAGTGAAGCTATTGGGAGTGCAAATCCCAACATAAACGACAACCATGGAGAAGGTTACCAGGAGTAGAGAGAGGGTTATCCCCAAGTGGAAAAAGGGAAAATGGCTATTTGCCACAAGAGTATGAGCTACCTACGGTGAGAGCCATCAAGAAAAAGGCTGCAGAATAGTGATGGTATTTTATTGTCCCAAAAGCTTATAGGTCTAGATTTTAGGAGTTCGATCAATTCTATTGGTCAAACCGTCAAAGTTCATATTAATATCCTAGATGTAGGATAAGAGAAAACAAAATAGAAAAAAAAAATTTAATTACTCATTGAATTATCTGTAATCTTTATTTATCTCTCAATACAATTATGAAACCATTGGCATTCTAAAATGAAGCATCGCATACTGGCAATTTCCCCAGGAGTATGCCCTCTCAAAACCCATTTCTGTCCATGTTTCCTGCCACAAATGTCACTATCTACAGAGAGAACTATATCTAGCTTTACATTCTAGATCAAAACAAACTTTACAACAGATGGTGAATATTCAGATATTTTCCTCCAGGTGATAATTTTATGGTAAAAACAGAAATAAATTGTTAAAGAAATTATTGTGGGTCACTGTAGGTCCCCATGTTCAGTTCGTAGAATCATCTCACCTTGTTTAACCCCAGAAACTCCAACCTTCAATCCACCAACAGCAGACATCACTGCAGAAAGAAAAATTAGGTTGAGGAGAAGACTTCACAATTTAGTTTCTTCATTTCTTTGAATCATTATACCGCCAAATCCTCAAAGAGCAACAAACAGCATAGAGCAGAACAGTCTATAGAATACCTGACATTGCTGGGGTAACAATGCCATCAGCTATCACCATAGAAGTACCAGCAAGCACTAACATTAGAAGAAGCTTTTTCAACGTCGGCGAAGCTTCAAGTCGTTCCTTTATCTTTAAAGACCTCTCAAGTTCCACAGATGGCACCTTTAGCCTGAAGCTTGATATACGAGCATCAGATGGAAGTTGATTTGGGAGAAGACTGACCTTAGCATGCCTACAAATCAATGAGTACAAAGCAAATGTACCACCTGCAATAATTAGGTAACAAATAACCACCTTTAGAGATTAATAATGTGCATGATATATGAAAGCTGCCATAAAGTGGACAGTTTAGTGTCCACCCTCCAGCTTACCTTCACCATCGTCATTAGCCCAGAGAACGATGAGGACATACTTGATCAGTGGGATCAGAATTAAGGTGTACAAAACTAGTGACAGTGCACCAAGAACATCTTCGTTTCCATTAACTGGGGCCTTGCTGAACATCACACTGAAGGTATACAGTGGACTTGTTCCCACATCGCCAAAGACAACCCCAAGTGTCTGAAATACCAGTATGATTCTCCTGCCCATACTAATGTCCTGCAATTATCATTACGAAATTAAGATACGAACTCCTTACAGTCATTTTGTGTCACATGCAAGATTTACCAAAGTCTTTTGTCTCATGACTTATCGTCCACTGGTTACTTTGTTTCTTAAAGGAATCCTAAAAAACGAATGAAATTTAAAAAGAAAACAATTAAGAAGAGAAAACACTTGACATGAACAGAAAACCAAAAAAGAAGCAACACCACAATGGATGACCAAGGGTAACAGAAGAATCACAAAATCAAGGTTCGTTGCTTTGCAAGAAAAACCACATTGCATGACTAAGGGTCAAATAGAACATACCAACTAATCCAACAGAGACAAACAAACAACTATTCTAAGGAATACAAATATATATCCAAAGACCCTGGTGAAAAAGGTAGCCCACTTGACCAGCACCAGCGATACCCCAGTGCTTATTGACCTATATGGAAATTCAAACAAAAGTTTTCATCCCAACATTTAAGTACATGTCATAGAATGCACAATGACATGGTATTGCTCAATTCGTAATCAAACAAAAAAACAATCCAGAACCAGCTTAATCAGAAGTTATGCTTTGGATTCATCACCCCACTATTGATATGTATCACAACAATACAAATATAGTTCTAGTTTCTGCACTTCTTTTCATCCAAAAACTAGAAGCACGAATGCCTTGTCAATCTCCACCACTTGCAAAAAATTAGGGCCTTTGGAGATCACGTGTTTCTGGGTTGTTAGTTTGCAAAATAGTCCAATAAAGGCCTTTACATCCAAAGATTTGATTTCCAATTTTCTTCCAGCTCTCTTTTCATTTAATGCCTTGGCAACTGTGGTTACTCGATGTTGATCTAGATTTGTCCTAAAGAAACAACCATTTATGTCAGTACTCTGCAAATTTACACCTCTACCAAAAAATATTCTAGTCATTAGTACTCAACCATCACAGACGAAATCCTTTCCGTTACAAATAGGAAGCAATGACAAAAATTATACGGTTTTCTAGTAAATCAGTACTTTTTTAGAGAAGAAATTGAACCAACAGGACTTACAAGCATGATTAAAACTGAATAAAGGAAATTTGATATTAGCAAAAGTAGAGATAGAAATAGAGGGAAATTAAAAATCAAAAACAAAAAGATACAGCAGCTTTGTTATCTAGGTTTAATTATTAATAAGGAAGTAGAGATTAGGGTTATGTGACCCTATAGAATCTAAGTATGTTGGCTCAAACGGAAAAGAGCTTATTATGCCAATAGAAAGAAGATGCAGAAAATGTTACACAACTAAGAAGCAAAACATTAATAAAAATGAGTGTAGTTGAAGTAAAAATATTAAGATGGATGTTAATACGGACGAAACTCAAGGCCAGGGGTTTGATAGTCCAGAGACCTGCCAAGCCCAAAAGGCCCGGAACAGAGAAGGAGAACCTAGCTTCGGCAAAAAGCCTATAACCCAGCCGTCTAGGTCCAGTCCAAACCATAGAGCGGTTTGGAGAAGGAAAGCCCAGCCCAAGCTATTTCTAGATCACCAGAGGGGATTGCAAATCCTGGGTTCCAGGGGGACCGCTCCTGACACCTACGACAATCTCAAAGAAGGTGGAGCACCAGGCCGCCAGAGATCATGGCAATGGCAGCGCCGGATGAACAGGGATGCCGGATGAACAGTGATCGTGGTGGCAGAAAAAGCAAGAAGGGGGCAGAAGAAAGGGCAGCTGGAGGCCCTAGGAGGAGCTGGTATAAATAGATAACGATAACTCAAGCAAGAGAAAAACTTGATCCCCCCAAAAGGAGATGAGTGAGCACTAGAAAGCAAAATAATGCATAAAATTAAGGGAGAATACTAGCCCCTTATCCTTTGTAAGTGGACCGCAAGTCCCCGAATTACAAGAGGCATTTCGCCAACCAATGAATATATAAATTCAGCAAGCAAGAAGCTCCGTTGATAGTGGACATAGCCTTAGTCTTTTGTCTAAGGTGAACCCCTTATATTCCCTAGGCTAACTAATCACAAATCCATGATCTGCAAAGTCATTTCGTAATGCCATCCCATCATTTTCAGGCTTGGGCCCTAAAATCCGAGCACCATCAGATGTCATGGAAAATATAGAATTAAAAATGAATACGTGTGAGACAATAGGATCAATTGAAGTTCAGTTGCAATAGAACGGATAGATATGATACGTATATGTATTGCTAAACCTATAGAAACAACAATAACGAAAAGCGACATAATCACCATTAATGGAATAATGCTAATGGAACGGAAAGAAACAAATTGACATGGAGTGATGTGGTGAAAAAAGGATATGGGGTTTTATATTTAATTAAACATATGCCCTTGACATTTTACAGAGAAGAATGGTGAGAAAAAAAATCATGTAGCATACAAGTAGTTTTCTTCATTGACCGGTTTCGATTAATGTTTGACATTTTGATTCTCTACGCAGTGTCTATTAACTTCATCCATTTTCTTAGCTACCAAAGAGTAAATTAAATAAAATTTACATCACTAACAACTTTCACATTAAAGCCGAGCTCACACACATCTAGCTAACAGCAAGATTGCAGCAACTTTTTTTTACCGAAAACGAACCTCGAAATCGTTCCTTTGAGCACCGGGGACCTCGAGGGCTTCAACATCAAATGAATCAATCCGAGGCCCAGTACGAATCAGTCTTTGCTCGGCATTCTCGTCATCTTCGGAGTCCATTTCATTCCGAGGTGGCAAATCGTCATCGTCCTCGTCATCATCATTGCCATCGATCTCCGAATCTTCCTCGTCGTCCTGAAACACCCACCTCGATTCCATCGAATCCATCGACGCTAACCCTCCATTGTCCCTCTCCGNGTCATCATCATTGCCATCGATCTCCGAATCTTCCTCGTCGTCCTGAAACACCCACCTCGATTCCATCGAATCCATCGACGCTAACCCTCCATTGTCCCTCTCCGATGATCCCTCTTCCGCCATTTTCACTTTCGCTCTCCACACCTTCAACACCACCTCTCTCTACAATCCTTCGATCCTACATCAAACAACAAATAACCGCATTCTCCCCAAAGCTAAACATATATGTGAAATTGAAACTCAAACCCTAGAAAATATGAATCTCGTGGATTAAAAGAGATTGAAAAAAAATAAAATTATTGCGAATGTGATTCGTTGAATGTCACTGTTTTTGGGTTGNTGATTCGTTGAATGTCACTGTTTTTGGGTTGAATTTTCTAGGTATGGATTCGTGTGTCGCTGTTGAGATAGAGAAAGTGTGGGGGCATATTGTAACGACATTTTAACAGCTACACCTTTAAGAGGGGGAGTGGATCTAAAAGACGCTGTACGGGTGATGCGCACCAGCTGGGATGGGATTAAGAGCTACTTGCCGAAGAATATAAGCTATGGCAAAAATAGGCCATGTTTGGTTCGTAAATCAGAAATAATTTTTTGTTCTCAAATTTTAAAAACATTTAAAATTTATTTATTTAGTATTTTTATTCTCTAAGTTTTAAGAAAAAAAAATGAGATTTGAGTCAAAAAAATAGAAAACAAGTGTAAATTGTTTTCAAAATTTCTTCGAAAATTTTAAAAATAAGGAGAACAATTTTGAATGTTCAAATATGGGTATATATATATAAATAATACAAAAAATAATAAAACATGTTTGAACAGTCTAAATATATATTTAAACAGTAATTCAAATATTAATTAAAAAATTATTTTTATATTGCCAATGTCATAATATATAATATATATATAGGAATGCAATATTTTTGGATAATATGTCTAAATTAATTTAGTCGGAGGAAACTCACTTTTTAAATTTAATAAATCAAAAACTTTTGAATGAGACATTTGTAGAGGAAAGGCTTCATATGTTTTTTTATCCCATTGTTTGGTTATTTTTATATGGTCATGTGTTGGATATTTGAACTGTTTAGGATTGGACTGCAGTTAATTCTCAATTCTTATCCCAAATGGGTGGAGATCAATCTCTCAATTTTAGCCTACATCATGTTAGGAATGGATCTAATTGCATTACATCAAATCAATGCTCCATCGTGCAATCAATTGAAAGGGGTATTGACTACAATGCATTTTATATGGTGCAAAAAAAATATATTTCGGTATCGTACCGTCATTTATAATTTTTGTGGGTTATTTTATAATTTTTATGAATAATTTTATCATTTTTTGTGATAATTGTATTTATCACGTTGCTTCAACCTAAACTCTTTTACCATCTTTTGAACCCATAACGCTTTCTTGGCAACCTCAATCACTGTCATGTATTTTTTCTTAGTTGTACATAGAGCTGCCAGCGATTGTAACATGGATTTCCAACATATTTGTCCTCTTATAAGTTTATACACATACTTGATAGTAAACACTACCATATCATCCAAAACCTTGGCATAACCGGCATCTACATGCCTCACAACTGAAAATACAATCCTGCTTTCTAGCAAATGCAATACCACGATTTGCTCTACTTGTTAAGTGTCTTAAGATGTCCTTGACTTCCTTGACCTGTTTTATCAGAACAAAAAACTTGCAAGAATCCAGCTTCCATGATTAATCCCATGCAACAGCTTTTTTTTGTGCAATTTCATTATGCCACACTCTCCTATGTGCCCTAATCTTATATGTCATGACAAAGTGTCATCAGTTTCAGTCTAAGAATATATTATTTCTTGCAATCTTTTGTCTTTTCATAATCACCGTGGAACTTTAGGTTATCTTCAATACTCCACTTTCTACCTTATAACAACGGTCATTGGAGTTTAAGGTTCCCAAAAAAAACAAATTTTTCCTCAAATTTGAAACGTGCTTAACCTCACCTAAAGTTCTCACAACACCATCAAACATCTTAAACCTAATTGTCCCAATTCCAATGACTTTGCATAACAATACCACAATTAAATAACCTGTAAGTGTCGAACTAATCTCAATTAGGAGACATGTGATAATTGATAAGAGCATCCTAGGAAGCACGAACATTTTATTTTGGACAGAGTATCGGTGTCGGACACATCGGGGACACGGACACGCTTCAGACACGTTAAAATGAGTGTTCGATTTTTTTATTATTAAATTTTTTTTAGGACACGTGGCCGACACGTTCAAGACACGTTGGGACATGCTAGGGGACACGTTTTGAGATTTATTTTCAATTTTTTTGAGAAACTTTTCAGATAATTTTATAATTAGGAATTATTTTTATAATTTTAAAGGGATATGAGTCACAATCATAATATAAAAGAAGTTATAATAATTACATTGAACATAGGACATGAATATAATATAATTTTGAATATGAATACGAACTTATATACAAATGGAATAGTCTTTTATTATGAAAGTAATGCGAAAAAAAATAAGATTACAAAATTGGAGCTCTTGAAATTTGATGAAGATTAGTATTGCGAAATGAAATATTTTTAAAGTAAAAATTGTAGAAGTCATTGATTATTAAATTATGGATGTCAATATTGTATGTGTATCAATATATCTTATATTATACTTTTCATGAAATGATATCATGATATAAATTTTTAGAATTAAGAAAATAATGAATTAAAAGATTATTATGATATTATTTTTATTTTATCACATGATTTTATATAAATAAATAAATATATATATATATATATATATATATATATATATATAATACATATTATTTAACGTATCGCTAACGTGTCCGTGTCCTACTTTTTTGAAAAATTTTGTATCGACGTGTCCGTGTCGTGTCGAATCCGTGTCCGTGCTACTCAGAGAGCATCCATAATCCAGAATCCATAAGTCGTCATGTGATCATAATTTGTTGAGCCTGAAAACAAATCACCATAGTCTGCATCTTGTATTGCTATGTTTACTGTGTTCGATGGTCCCTCCTTGTTTTTTTGCTCCTTCACCCATTGTCCTCTTAGGACAATTCTTCTTCATGTGTCCCGTCTCACTGCACTTGAAGCACTTTACGTCCCATTTATCACTGCCTCTCCTCCGAAAAATTCAAGAATTAAAAAAAATAATAAAAAAAGAGACAAAAAATTGCACAAAATAATAAAAATAAGGGTAACCTTCACTTTACCCCCTTTTAGTTTAACTCATTTGCACATCACCTCGCTAGGGTTCAAGAATAGCACCTAACTCCCTTGTGGTTGTTAGACTAAAATACACCCCTTAACTTCGTTAACAACAAGATTAAAAGGACTTTAATGTCCCTCCCCACTCTTTTTCTCCGGCAACTCCTTCCATTCGACAAATCGATCAAATAACAAAAATAGAACTTCAAAATCAATTGTTCATAAATATGATACTGAACAATACTAAATTAGGCTTGGATGAGGCAAAAATATTGTGGGTAGCAAAATTTCAAACAAGTGAAAAAAATGTCGTCTTCTTCGAATTAGAATTAGCAGACTGTCGAATGCTTTTCGGTCTCGCTGGGTTCAACCAATTGATAGGGTAATGATTAAAGAAAGGCCAATTTGCTGCTGCTTCTTCAGCGTCCAGGTCTTTTGTAACGAGTTTGGTGGTGAAAGTTTGCAACAATTGAACAATTGAAAGGGAAGGAGGTGTGTGGTGGTGGGTGGTCATGGCAGTCAACGAAAAAGAGGATAAAGTGATCGTGAGTGTCTTGGCAGACCTCAGAGAGAGAGAGAGAGAGAGAGAGAGAGGAGAAGAGAAGAGGTGCGATTGGTGGGAGTGGCTGTCCAAAATAGGAGTAGCAGTGCGCGGTGATGGTTTTGGTTGTTCACAGGAAAGACAAGCTCTGAGGGGAAGAAAAGAGGGTAGAGATATGTCAGTGTATTTTAGGCCATGTTTGTTGGAAACAATTTTTTGTTCTCAAAATTTCAAAAACACTTAAAATCTGTTTGTTTAATATTTTTGTTATCTAAATTTTGAGAAAAAAAAATGAAATTTCAGTCAAAGAAACAGAAAATAAGTATATCTTATTTTCAAAATTTTCTTTGAAACTTNCACCCACCTCGATTCCATCGAATCCATCGACGCTAACCCTCCATTGTCCCTCTCCGGTGATCCCTCTTCCGCCATTTTCACTTTCGCTCTCCACACCTTCAACACCACCTCTCTCTACAATCCTTCGATCCTACATCGAACAACAAATAACCGCATTCTCCCCAAAACTAAACATATATGTGAAATTGAAACTCAAACCCTAGAAAATATGAATCTCGTGGATTAAAAGAGATTGAAAAAAAAAAAATTATTGCGAATGTGATTCGTTGAATGTCACTGTTTTTGGGTTAAATTTTCTAGGTATGGATTCGTGTGTCGCTGTTGAGATAGAGAAAGTGTGGGGGCATATTGTAACGACATTTTAACAGCTACACCTTTAAGAGGGGGAGTGGATCTAAAAGACGCTGTACGGGTGATGCGCACCAGCTGGGATGGGATTAAGAGCTACTTGCCGAAGAATATAAGCTATGGCAAAAATAGGCCATGTTTGGTTCGTAATTCAGAAATAATTTTTTGTTCTCAAATTTTAAAAATATTTAAAATTTATTTATTTAGTATTTTTATTCTCTAAGTTTTAAGAAAAAAATGAGATTTGAGTTAAAGAAACAAAAAACAAGTGTAAATTATTTTCAAAGTTTTCTTTGAAAATTTTAAAAATAAGGAGAACAATTTTGAATGTTCATATATAGGTATATATATATAAATAATACAAAAAATAGTAAAACATGTTTAGACAGTCTAAATATATATTTAAACAGTAATTCAAATATTAATAAAAAAATTATTTTTATATTGACAATTTCATAATATATATATAGGAATGCAATATTTTTGGAAAATATGTCTAAATTAATTTAGTCGGAGGAAACTCACTTTTTAAATTTAATAAATCAAAAACTTTTGAATGAGACATTTGTAGAGGAAAGGCTTCATATGTTTTTTTATCCCATTGTTTGGTTATTTTTATATGGTCATGTGTTGGATATTTGAACTGTTTAGGATTGGACTGCAGTTAATTCTCAATTCTTATCCCAAATGGGTGGAGATCAATCTCTCAATTTTAGCCTACATCATGTTAGGAATGGATCTAATTGCATTACATCAAATCAATGCTCCATCGTGCAATCAATTGAAAGGGGTATTGACTACAATGCATTTTATATGGAGTAGCCTACGGTGCAAAAAAAATATATTTCGGTATCGTACCGTCATTTATAATTTTTGTGAGTTATTTTATAATTTTTATGAATAATTTTATCATTTTTTGTGATAATTGTATTTATCACGTTGCTTCAACCTAAACTCTTTTACCATCTTTTGAACCCATAACGCTTTCTTGGCAACCTCAATCACTGTCATGTATTTTTTCTTAGTTGTACATAGAGCTGCCAGCGATTGTAACATGGATTTCCAACATATTTGTCCTCTTATAAGTTTATACACATACTTGATAGTAAACACTACCATATCATCCAAAACCTTGGCATAACCGGCATCTACATGCCTCACAACTGAAAATACAATCCTGCTTTCTAGCAAATGCAATACCACGATTTGCTCTACTTGTTAAGTGTCTTAAGATGTCCTTGACTTCCTTGACCTGTTTTATCAGAACAAAAAACTTGCAAGAATCCAGCTTCCATGATTAATCCCATGCAACAGCTTTTTTTTGTGCAATTTCATTATGCCACACTCTCCTATGTGCCCTAATCTTATATGTCATGACAAAGTGTCATCAGTTTCAGTCTAAGAATATATTATTTCTTGCAATCTTTTGTCTTTTCATAATCACCGTGGAACTTTAGGTTATCTTCAATACTCCACTTTCTACCTTATAACAACGGTCATTGGAGTTTAAGGTTCCCAAAAAAAACAAATTTTTCCTCAAATTTGAAACGTGCTTAACCTCACCTAAAGTTCTCACAACACCATCAAACATCTTAAACCTAATTGTCCCAATTCCAATGACTTTGCATAACAATACCACAATTAAATAACCTGTAAGTGTCGAACTAATCTCAATTAGGAGACATGTGATAATTGATAAGAGCATCCTAGGAAGCACGAACATTTTATTTTGGACAGAGTATCGGTGTCGGACACATCGGGGACACGGACACGCTTCAGACACGTTAAAATGAGTGTTCGATTTTTTTATTATTAAATTTTTTTTAGGACACGTGGCCGACACGTTCAAGACACGTTGGGACATGCTAGGGGACACGTTTTGAGATTTATTTTCAATTTTTTTGAGAAACTTTTCAGATAATTTTATAATTAGGAATTATTTTTATAATTTTAAAGGGATATGAGTCACAATCATAATATAAAAGAAGTTATAATAATTACATTGAACATAGGACATGAATATAATATAATTTTGAATATGAATACGAACTTATATACAAATGGAATAGTCTTTTATTATGAAAGTAATGCGAAAAAAAATAAGATTACAAAATTGGAGCTCTTGAAATTTGATGAAGATTAGTATTGCGAAATGAAATATTTTTAAANGTGTCGAATCCGTGCCCGTGCTACTCAGAGAGCATCCATAATCCAGAATCCATAAGTCTTCATGTGATCATAATTTGTTGAGCCTGAAAACAAATCACCATAGTCTGCATCTTGTATTGCTATGTTTACTGTGTTCGATGGTCCCTCCTTGTTTTTTTGCTCCTTCACCCATTGTCCTCTTAGGACAATTCTTCTTCATGTGTCCCGTCTCACTGCACTTGAAGCACTTTACGTCCCATTTATCACTGCCTCTCCTCCGAAAAATTCAAGAATTAAAAAAAATAATAAAAAAAGAGACAAAAAATTGCACAAAATAATAAAAATAAGGGTAACCTTCACTTTACCCCCTTTTAGTTTAACTCATTTGCACATCACCTCGCTAGGGTTCAAGAATAGCAACTAACTCCCTTGTGGTTGTTAGACTAAAATACACCCCTTAACTTCGTTAACAACAAGATTAAAAGGACTTTAATGCCCCTCCCCACTCTTTGTCTCCGGCAACTCCTTCCATTCGACAAATCGATCAAATAACAAAAATAGAACTTCAAAATCAATTGTTCATAAATGTGATACTGAACAATACTAAATTAGGCTTGGATGAGGCAAAAATATTGTGGGTAGCAAAATGTCAAACAAGTGAAAAAAATGTCGTCTTCTTCTTCGAATTAGAATTAGCAGACTGTCGAATGCTTTTCGGTCTCGCTGGGTTCAACCAATTGATAGGGTAATGATTAAAGAAAGGCCAATTTGCTGCTGCTTCTTCAGCGTCCAGGTCTTTTGTAACGAGTTTGGTGGTGAAAGTTTGCAACAATTGAACAATTGAAAGGGAAGGAGGTGTGTGGTGGTGGGTGGTCATGGCAGTCAACGAAAAAGAGGATAAAGTGATCGTGAGTGTCTTGGCAGACCTCAGAGAGAGAGAGAGAGAGGAGAAGAGAAGAGGTGCGATTGGTGGGAGTGGCTGTCCAAAATAGGAGTAGCGGTGCGCGGTGATGGTTTTGGTTGTTCACAGGAAAGACAAGCTCTGAGGGGAAGAAAAGAGGGTAGAGATATGTCAGGGTATTTTAGGCCATGTTCGTCGGATTGTTCTCAAAATTTCAAAAACACCTAAAATCTGTTTGTTTAATATTTTTGTTATCTAAATTTTGAGAAAAAAAATGAGATTTTAGTCAAAGAAACAGAAAATAAGTATATCTTATTTTCAAAATTTTCTTTGAAACTTTTGGAAACAAGGAGAACAATATATATATATATATATATAAATAAATATTTATATATATATATATATATATATAAATACATTTATTTATACATGTATATATAAAAACGTATATACACATATATATATTGTGTGTGAGGGGTGTATTCATATATATATATGTGTGTGTGTGTGTGTGTGTTTTAAAGTTTGATTTATTGAATTTTTTTTTATGAATTTGTCAATCTAAAAATAATTTTTTTATATTTTTTTATTAATGTTTGAATTACTGTTCAAATATATATTTAGGCTGTTCAAACAGGTTTTACTATTTTGTGTATTGTAAAATTATTTTTGAAATCATCTAACCAAACAAATTTTTTATCTCAAAAAATATTAAAACAATTTTCTTAAAACTCTTTTCAAAAATTGTTTTCAAATACTATTTTTTGAAACTCAAACCAAACAATCCCTTGGTCTTTTCAATTTTTCATTTTCATGCTTAATCTCCCAAAATAGGGCGTTACTCACACTATCTGTTAAATGAAATGGAAAATATGATGGTGCATTTTAGTCCAAAAACCATAAGGGAGTTAAGTGCCATTTTAGAACCCGAGGAAGGTGATGTGCAAATGGGTCAAACCACAAGGGGGTAAAATGAAGTTTACCCTAAAAATAATAATCTATATCTATACTACTCTAAAATGTCAAGATACATGAAAAATTTTATTTGAACATTTTTGTCCTCCAAAAATTTGAAAATTCCAAGATTACCATTGAAATTAGAATACCAAACACTTGTGACATTAATCATATCAAATGGGTCATTAAATATTTCACAATGAACATTATTAAATTTGCTTAGTGTAGGTATATCACTTAATAAATCTTATAACGTCAAAAATATTATATTAACTCTTCATCTCACAATATTTTCATGTTACTATTAATTCTCTAATGTGTAAGATAGAATAAGTGAAAGGTTATATCAACATGTCCTCCTCCTTCTAATAATTAGTTGTTGCACACCTGCGTTGCATCTTTACGAAAAGCTCTATTATGATTAAGCCCTTAATAGACCCTAGCATAAATAAATAATCGTCCTTATAATTATGTCTATAGTTATGTCCTTTTTTCAAAAATGGGTACCTCCTACACATAAAACACCCACAAAAAAAAATGAATGATTAAACCTTCCGAAACAAATGAGTGGTTAAACATCCTTAAATTGCAAGATTTTAAAAATTCCCACACAGAAAATGGAAAAGGAATAACAACACAAAATAAATTGATTCTAAGGGCTAATAGAAATATAAGACTAAGTATCACAAAAAGTTAAGGCATTGAGAAGAAGAATATGAAAAAAGGCCTACCATAAAATGTTCCAAAAGTAAATGCGAAGGTTGTTGTTAGACTAACGATTCCAATCCTTCGGATAAACGATTTCAATCCCTAATTGGAATAATAATACAATATTCCAATGGTAAAAATCATAAAAAATCAGATTAAATTTAAAGTAAAAAAAACTACCAAAAAACAATAAGAAAGACAGAGTAGTAAGGCACATAATTGATAATCATTCCCAAGATAGCTTGTAATAGCTTGAGTTTTGTTCACAAGGTAATTGTACATTGCGATCTTTACCAAGGATAGAAGAATTTTAGTCCTCTTTCGCTGAAAGCATTGTGATACCTACTCCTTAAACTGTATCACATAAGACATATAATAAATATTGAATTTTGACCTTTCCTTGTTAACTTTAAAGGAATTCCTAACAGTTGTGGCACTAAAAAAAAACAGACGAAAGGGGTACTTACCTTCTTGAATCAAATAATGTTCAGATGTTGAATGATTCAAGGTTTATGATATCTCGCAATACAATCTCAACGATTTGTGAGTAAATTGTACCAGCATATGAACAAAAGTTTTACTGTTAAATAAGAATGGATTGTTATTCAATCAAAGTTACCATAACTAAGTTAATACGCTATTGATCAATGTGATAATGTTGTTAAAAAAAATCTAATGTAAGGAAAATTATGAAAAACAGAATATAAAGGCTCCTTAAGTCAAAAAATGGATACTATGTTGAAGCAATGACGTTGTCTTTCCAATCCACAAGCAAATGATGTGTATGAAATAAACCACAAGGGTTCTTTAGAGGAACCATCCTACCAATTACTACTCGTGGAACCTCCCTTGATTGTCAACCAAACAAAATCTCTAATTGCAACTATTGAACAACAGTTGAAGACAACTAACAAAAGTTTTGAGGGAAGATTGAACAATGGAATCCTCTGCTTCAACTCTAGATTTGTAGATGCTCATACCAACCATCCAAACAAAAAATAATCACTTGCTCTATGTGATCTTGGTGAAAATAAAATATACTCCAAAAAAAATCTGCTAGATAAAATAAAAGCATTAAAATTTTTAAAGTTGATATGAAGCTCGATTCTCATATTTCATTTGTCACTTTTTTTCATCATCATGATGCAATTTATAAATTTTTAACAACAATTATTTTTTTTTCATAAATATAATTGTATTTTGTTGATGACAATCGCTAGCACAATGTTTGGAACTTTTCAAAGACTTGACCTTCCATTTGTTAGTCTGCTAATGTACCTATAGAAGCCATGAAATCTGCTGTAAGAATATTCCAGAACAGCTTTTGAATGAAGTCCAGATTTTCTGCGAATAAGAACAATGACAGAAAACAATCTTAAAACTGCATTGCCATATTGTTAGTTTTTAAAGAACAATGAAATAGGACTGTACTAAATGCATTTTCAATAAGGTTGAGGGGGTAATAGGAGGTTTAAACTTTTGAATCAAAATAAAGCAATAAGCAATAAAATCTATTAATATATATTGTAGTCGAAATGCGAAGCAGCAAGAGATGCAATTCAAGGACTTCTTTCATGATAATTGCTAATTTACTATTTTGTAATTTGAATGGAAAAATTGTTTTACTATAGTAGTTGTGTTATCAGTAAAAGGCTTGCACTTAAAGTACCTGAATATTAATATTTGGGCTGTAAAAATAGTTTAACAAGGTCTTGTTAGTTGATAGGAACAAGCATCAGATGGTCAAGTCACTGTTAACTACCGATGTGGAGTCAAATACAACTTTAAGATTCCTCACCAACACTGATACTGTAAGATTCAGGAATTAATCAGATTTAACGTAAAATAAAATTAAAGTTTAGCAAAATAAAAAAAAAATAGAATTCTCAGGTGGAAAAAGAGCGGCATGTTTCATTCTACAAATCAACCTAGGACAGTCAAAAAGGTAATGCATTATATTTAAATCTTACACAATGTACAAGATGTATTCTTGCTCCTATACCACATGCACCAGTTAGTTCAAAGTGTGAATGTGCAGTAATGACAGCAAGCAAAACATTAAAGTTCCATACCTACATTTATCTCAGTCATTGCTTTGGGCACAAAGGAATCAGGTATGATGTCAACCATCAATATGTGCTCTGTGCTGTATGCATATGCTCTCATAACCTGATTCATGAAATCAAGTAATGATCCACATTCAAGATAGCAGTCAGATGCACAATATTGAGCTCAGCGATGCAATGGAATGATTCCAAGAAAATGTTTCAGCATGAAGAAAATAACATAAATTGATTAAAAGCCTAACCTAGTAGACTATCATAAAATGCAACTGATAAATAATTTACATAAATAGCATCATGACCATGTAGAAGTATCAACATCAATTTACGACATGATTCCTGCAGATGTGTGATGTGCTAATGTAATGTCCATTTATAGTATTTAAATAAGATAAATTTTCAGGATAAATAAATATGGAATCTTGAGGTAAAGAGACAAGCATCTTCTTTGCCACCCACTCCAGCCATTTCCACTTCCTGCCCCCATATCCATTGATCTTTTCTCCCCTCTACCTAACCCTTACTCCATCCAACAATGTTATAAAAGGAAATGTGTACAAAAAATGCAGAGATCACAGTCAAATACCGAACAAAAAAAAACAGAGAGAGAGATGTGATATGCTTTACCTTTGGAGCCAATACTCTGAGGTTCTGATATTGGTGTGTAAAATTGGATTCGATTACAATGAGAAGATTAGAACAATGTAAAACACAATATAAAGTTCACAAACATTTACCTTTGTTTGATATTACCATAAAGAAAAAGGAGAACGGAGTATAGGTCATAAAAGCCAATATCAAAAAAGTTTACCAAGAAACTTGATGTTTATTAAAACTAAATAAACTTGAACCATAATCTCCATGTATTTGAATGCTTCATTTTTTTTTTGCCTATTCGTTGATGGTTCTTTTGGTGTTTCAGGGTCTTCCAATTTTTCTACTTGATGAACCACAAAGCATCTTGTTTTACTTGTATACACTATAACTACGAAAAATGAGCAGGGAATAAAAGGGAAAACATTGGAGGGAAGGTTTATTCAAGAAGTATTTCTCTTGTGTTCCGCAGCCAATAAAAGATGCTGTCTCATAATTGAATTTCTTAAAATTCAGCGAACAAATGGGCATGATAATAAATGATCTTGATGATAACCATACTGTTAAGGTTTAAACAAAAAAGAATATATAAGTGGAGGACAATATACAAATAGATATATCTGTTAAAGGAAATAAAAAATCAGAAGTAGCTGAAATGTGTGAACTTCAGTGGAAAAAATATTAACTCAAATCGCTTACAGTTCATGCTCTAAGGAGTTCTTGGCCGTCTCCGCATCCCCTCTTCTTCCATTTGCTTTTGCTCATTAATTGGAATATCTGTGATTGGAAAGAACTATTTGTCTTGCGTGTTTCTGTTAGCTATTTTGTGATTTTAACTGTACTTATCATTCATTCTTTTGTTCCTAGCTGCTGATGTTATATTATGGAGGCAGTGGCGTGTTTCATACGGAGTCATTGTTGTTGCTATTGTTGCATGGTTCCTATTTGAGCAGGCAGGATTGTCATTCTTATCAATTTGTTCCAATGCCTTCCTGATCTTGATTGTACTGCTATTTCTTCAAGCTAACTACACTGTTTTCAGAAACAAGTATGAATGTTCTATACATTTACCTATTCTATGGAATGATCCATGTTTCCCATTGTTGCAGTAGAATGATACTTAGTAGAATGAAGAAAAAGACAGCTAAATGATTAAATTATCTCCCTTTCACGCGCACACACACGTTTGCATAGGTACACCATGAAAGCATGTAAGTGTCATGAAAAACACACAGTAAGAAAAAGATTCATCAGGTATTGACTAATCTAAACATCTTTAAGGATTCTACTACATCAAAGTATCAAAATTTACGCTGATATATTCATTTGATATCCATTTATACACAGATTCACCACAAATTAGAGATTAGAGATATGAATTAATTGAATGAAATTTCAATAGGGGATATGAATTAATTGAATGAAATTTCACTCAAGAACAACACACGTTCTACTGGTCCAACATCAAACATGTGTACAAAGGATCAAAACAAAACCATTCCATGTAAGACAAAAGCAAAGCATACCTTTTAACTTTACCAATTACGAACCTTCGAGATGGGTTGCCTGTGAGTGAGGAGTGAAGGAAAGAAAGAAAGAAAGAAAAAGCAAGGGAGCAGCGAGAGATGTCGCTCGAATAGTTTTATAAGTTAGGAATTCAAAATCTCTATATAGATGTGTGACAAAATCTAAAAATTTTTAGCATGCCCAAAAAATGTTTTTAATTCATGGGTTATGTAGGTTAATTCGAACACGACACATTACTTGACAAGATTAATTCATGGGTAAGAACATAATTTACTTCAATAATCTGATTCTCTGGAAATTGAGAAGAATAAAACATGCACTCAAATGATCATAATATAAGAATGTAGGAAATTACAAGTTAGTGGGCTAGATAACTCTTGATATGGGGTAATTATAGGGAGAAAATAAGTGGGGAAGAGATTAGAATTGGTTTCTGGGTAAAAATCAATCAAGAATGGTTACATGAGTACCGTGAGGGATTGGACGGGAGAGAACTTTTTTCTCTCAATTTAATATCTCAAATGTTACAGAATTAAGCAAATGAGAAGGCAAAGCTTCTGAATACCTCTTCCCACAGTCCCCACAACCTGATTCTTTTGGAAATGGCACAATCTAATTCTTATGTGTGTGTAGATTGTATTCAGTCAACCTGAATTCCTCTAAAACAGAATAGGCTTCATAATGAGATCCTTCATTAAAACATACGAGATTCAAAAATTCCACTTTCCATTCTTTCCCCCCACTCTCATTGCAATGAAACAGAGGATGAATGAACCTAATTAAAACTCGAGCCACACTATCAACAATATTATTAGAGGTATTATCATTAAAGATTATGTTACACTTTGTAAAAAAAAAACCGATAATTATTCGTGATTGATCATAAAATGTTATGATCGATTACAATTTTTTAAGTTATAACTCTCATAAGATTCAACTTGACGTTTAAACATTATATAATAATAAATTGAATAAAAAATGAAACCACAAAGAAGAAAACACCAGCATAAATGAAATCTAATTCAGTAATTATTCAAACCAAAACAAAAACAAAAATTCTGAACTAATAATTGGAACACACATCACAGTTACCTGGTCAGAGGGAGAGGTTGGAGCTCCTCTAGCGGTGGAAAGCTTGATGATGCCAAAACACAACAACCATCCGGCGTCTGACAGAGAGGGGCTAAGGACGATGGGATTTCAAAGAATTTTAGGACAGAAAATACGATTGTAATAGAATTTTGAAGAAAATCAGCGGTTTTTTTAATTAAACAAAATAATTGTTGGATGCCTAATTGAAGTCTAATTGATCTTGTAATTTAATACACGTAATTAAATAAAATTGTGGAAAGCGAGACTGAGAAGGGGATGGTGAAGAGTAGGGCTGTGAATTTGCAAGACAGAGAGAGAGAAGAGGGAGAGGAAGAGACTGTAACGCCTAGGTCTGTGGAAGATGAAGACAAGGGCTGTGAATTTGCAAGAAAGAGAGAGAGAGGAGGGAGAGAAAGTCGGAGAGAGGAAAAGGTTGTAACGCCTGAGAGAAGTAGAGCCTCTAGGTCTGTGAATTTGAGTGAGGAAGTAGGGAGAGAAAAAGAGAGAAGAGGGAGAGAAGGTGGGAATAGAGGGAGACGTTAACTGGGAAGCAATTAAGTGCAGAGGACATGAGGACATAATTGTCATGTTTGTGGATAAAATTAAAAAAAAAATGTTTTTCACGTGACTTTTTAAAATAGTATAATTATAGATACGCATATTCTTGTACTCTTCTTAGATCTGTATCTATATCCACATCTATCTATACCACCCAAATTAATTTTCCTAATCTATAATTATGCATCTCATTTTAGTTATAGACCTTACAACTACTGTAGCAACATATTTAATTTATGACCTTATAGTTACAGTAACTGACTTAGATCAAAATGATTGTCCATGTTCAAATCAAAAGGATTAGTCTATTAGATTAATTTGCATTATGCTACTTGTTGGAGATCATTTTCAATGTTTTTTAGAGAGGAAAGAGATAGCTACAAACCCATCCTGGTTATCTTTGACATGTTCATATTTTCTCTTTTCGAAGTTATTCTCTCTCTATTTTAAAGAATCTGAAGGTATATCCCTATTTCATCACAAGAGTTGTATATTTTGAAGACATAAATTTTTTATCTCTCTTTATTGTATTTCGATTAGAATGAATTCTATTATGTTTTCTTGTCAAGTTATATGAACTCTAGATTGTAGTGAGTTTTCATCTATTGACTATTGTCAGTGAGGCAACAAAATATGCATATTTGATTTTAGAAGGGGCCAACAAGAAGGGTAGGAGTTGAAAAAGATTTTTTTTTTTCTTTCTTGCCAATTTACTGGAGACATAGTGAAAAACCATGCCTTTTGAACTGAACGCAACGCCCGTCTTTCGAATCAAAAGAGAAATGGGCTCGTAAGAAAGAAAGATGGAGTGCGGCCATGAAAGACTTAAGTAGCCACTTGATTTATGCGTGAAAGTTATGACCATTAGAAATTGTAGTTGTCTTTTTGGATGATGGTGAGAGTACTCAGACGAGTATTAACACGATACATAAAATTGATATTTTCTAATTTATCTAATATTTTATTTATGATAATCAATCCATACCAAACATTTTTAGTACTATCTGATTGCAAAAAAAAAAAAAAATTAGTATTATAATAAGTGCATCATAGTTTGGCTACAGAGGCTAAGAAATAGAATAGGACTCCTGGCTTTCACTATTGCATTTGCATTTTTTCCCTATTTATTTTATTAAATTTAATCACTACAAAAGGCCTTTGACATCCTTCTATAGAGAAATAATTAAAAAGCCTAACTTTCCTTCAATTCTTTATGATTTTTAAAGCAAGTTTGCTAATTTAGAGATGTTTAATAGAAATTATGGTGATCATATGTCAAAGTCGTGATCGATTACCCAACATTGAAAACCTAGAAAATATGGTTAAAATGGGACAACAAAACTTGCAGTAACTTCCATATGTTGCATAGACGATTTGCTTGTTTTTTAGTTTCTTATCTATTATTGTGCAACTATTATTGTTTTGATGGTTGTAGGTGGTGGCGGTGGGCAATGATTGTAATGAGTGATNGTTTGTTTTTTAGTTTCCTATCCATTATTGTGCAACTATTATTGTTTTGATGGTTGTAGGTGGTGGCGGTGGGCAATGATGGTAATGAGTGATGGCAATGGGTGGTGGCGACGAGTTGTAGTGATGGTAGGCAGCGATGGTGTGTGGTGGTCGATAGTTGTGATGGTAGCAGGCAGTAAGTGATGAATGGTTGAGGCGGCGGTAGAAAAAGTGCACGAATGTGGCCTGTGGTTCCTTTTCCCATCAACTTAGCCCACAGATTTATATAAAAGAGAAATGGGGGTCAATCCTGTATAGGAGACTTTTAAGGCTTAATGTATAAATTTCAAACATATTTAGTATTAAGTCCCACACCTGATAATTTGTTAAGCAGTTAAGTCCTTTTCTTTATTCTTCTATTAATGCATTGATTTAACTCTAAAAGTAGGTTCTAAATTGGTTTATAAAGCAGTTACCATACTTGAATGGAACACGGTGACAAAAAAACAGTAACATTCATCTCTCTCTCTCTCACACACATACACACACACCCATCCTGATGGCAGCTTGAGTATGAACCATATTGGGATGTAGAGCAACCTCAGCACCCACACACAAATCGCACACACACACACAAACAAACCCATCACACACACACCCAACACAGACCCAGCACACACGCACCCACACCCACTCACTCACACACACATCACAAACAAACCCACACACNCCATCACACACACACCCAACACAGACCCAGGACACACGCACCCACACCCACTCACTCACACACACATCACAAACAAACCCACACACCAAGTGTTTGTTGGAATTACTGGGAGAAAATGATGAATATGCATAGTTACCCACAACTTGTTGGTGGTTCCATTCCTTCATAGTAAAGTTTAATGTTGATTTGAAATTTTATATTGTTTCCTTAATTTAGATGATTCCTGAATTAACTAAGAAAAGAAAATATCAAATGGTTATTGGTATTAACACAACTTTTAGCAGCCAAAAGAGAAGAGACTCTGTTCGTGCTACTTGGGTGCCACAAGGTTCATTAACTTCCCTGCCTGCATTTGTGCTTAGTATTCTGTTTTTATTTCTTCAAATTACAATGTGGCTAATTCTGATTTTGCTTTAGTAAGTAACTTGTCTTTTTTGGTGTGAAAATTAGGTGATAAACAAAAGAAGCTTGAGGAAGAAAAGGGCATTATAATTCCATTTGTAATAGGTCACAGGTGGGCGATAGACACTCAAAGTTTATTAAGTACACCTTTCTTTTATATTTTTCAAGTTTGTGATTTTTGCTTCAAAATTTCTGTTGAATCTTTCGTTGCACATGGTAATTTGGTTGTCACTCACTCACCTAGGATTTTTCTCCATATCTTAGTTTTATTGTGCTCTCAATATAGTGATCCCTTGGGAGTCTTAATAGTTTTAGTATCTTTGAAGTGTCTTGCATGCNCAAAATATGCATATTTGATTTTAGAAGGGGCCAACAAGAAGGGTAGGAGTTGAAAATGATTTTTTTTTTCTTTCCTGCCAATTTACTGGAGACATAGTGAAAACCCATGCCTTTTGAACTGAACGCAACGCCCGTCTTTCGAATCAAAAGAGAAATGGGCTCGTNTGCCAATTTACTGGAGACATAGTGAAAAACCATGCCTTTTGAACTGAACGCAACGCCCGTCTTTCGAATCAAAAGAGAAATGGGCTCGTAAGAAAGAAAGATGGAGTGCGGCCATGAAAGACTTAAGTAGCCACTTGGTTTATGCGTGAAAGTTATGACCATTAGAAATTGTAGTTGTCTTTTTGGATGATGGTGAGAGTACTCAGATGAGTATTAACACGATACATAAAATTGATATTTTCTAATTTATCTAATATTTTATTTATGATAATCAATCCATACCAAACATTTTTAGTTCTATCTGATTGCAAAAAAAAAAAAAAATTAGTATTATAATAAGTGCATCATAGTTTGGCTACAGAGGCTAAGAAATAGAATAGGACTCCTGTCTTTCACTATTGCATTTGCATTTTTTTCCTATTTATTTTATTAAATTTAATCACTACAAAAGGCCTTTGACATCCTTCTATAGAGAAATAATTAAAAAGCCTAACTTTCCTTCAATTCTTTATGATTTTTAAAGCAAGTTTGCTAATTTAGAGATGTTTAATAGAAATTATGGTGATCATATGTCAAAGTCGTGATCGATTACCCAACATTGAAAACCTAGAAAATATGGTTAAAATGGGACAACAAAACTTGCAGTAACTTCCATATGTTGCATAGACGATTTGCTTGTTTTTTAGTTTCTTATCTATTATTGTGCAACTATTATTGTTTTGATGGTTGTAGGTGGTGGCGGTGGGCAATGATTGTAATGAGTGATGGCAATGGGTGGTGGCGACGAGTTGTAGTGATGGTAGGCAGCAATGGTGTGTGGTGGTCGATAGTTGTGATGATAGCAGCAGTAAGTGGTGAATGATTGAGGCGACGGTAGAATGATAATGATATTAGTAATAAATATAAGAATAAGATGATGATGAAATTTTTTAAATAAATTCAAGAATATTTTTGTTATTTATTGTTTTTATGGACTTTCGACATTAAAAGTAGTCCGTTAAACCTAAAGCCTAAAAAGTGCACGAATGTGGCCTGTGGTCCCTTTTCCCATCAACTTAGCCCACAGATTTATATAAAAGAGAAATGGGGGTCAATCCTGTATAGGAGACTTTTAAGGCATAATGTATAAATTTCAAACATATTTAGTATTAAGTCCCACACCTGATAATTTGTTAAGCAGTTAAGTCCTTTTCTTTATTCTTCTATTAATGCATTGATTTAACTCTAAAAGTAGGTTCTAAATTGGTTTATAAAGCAGTTACCATACTTGAATGGAACACGGTGACAAAAAAACAGTAACATTCATCTCTCTCTCTCTCACACACATACACACACACCCATCCTACCCCCACCTCTTCTCTCTCTCACTTCACACCCACAGCGCACAACACCCAACAAACCCAGCACACACAAACCATAGTGTTTGAAGTTGATGGCAGCTTGAGTATGAACCATATTGGGATGTAGAGCAACCTCAGCACACACACACAAACAAACCCATCACACACACACCCAACACACACCCATCACACACACACCCAACACAGACCCAGCACACACGCACCCACACCCACTCACTCACACACACATCACAAACAAACCCACACACCAAGTGTTTGTTGGAATTACTGGGAGAAAATGATGAATATGCATAGTTACCCACAACTTGTTGGTGGTTCCATTCCTTCATAGTAAAGTTTAATGTTGATTTGAAATTTTATATTGTTTCCTTAATTTAGATGATTCCTGAATTAACTAAGAAAAGAAAATATCAAATGGTTATTGGTATTAACACAACTTTTAGCAGCCAAAAGAGAAGAGACTCTGTTCGTGCTACTTGGGTGCCACAAGGTTCATTAACTTCCCTGCCTGCATTTGTGCTTAGTATTCTGTTTTTATTTCTTCAAATTACAATGTGGCTAATTCTGATTTTGCTTTAGTAAGTAACTTGTCTTTTTTGGTGTGAAAATTAGGTGATAAACAAAAGAAGCTTGAGGAAGAAAAGGGCATTATAATTCCATTTGTAATAGGTCACAGGTGGGCGATAGACACTCAAAGTTTATTAAGTACACCTTTCTTTTATATTTTTCAAGTTTGTGATTTTTGCTTCAAAATTTCTGTTGAATCTTTCGTTGCACATGGTAATTTGGTTGTCACTCACTCACCTAGGATTTTTCTCCATATCTTAGTTTTATTGTGCTCTCAATATAGTGATCCCTTGGGAGTCTTAATAGTTTTAGTATCTTTGAAGTGTCTTGCATGCAATCAATCATCTCAGATTGAAGGAGGATCGTGGATCGTCGTTCATATGATGTGTTATCTTTTTTCTTGAAAAAGTCAGCCAGTTACGTCAGTTAGTACATGTTAGTATGCTTTAACTGAAGACCTTTCACGCTTACATGTATTGTTGGATTAAATCAAATTATCGGACTGATAGAGTGACAATAGAGCAGCATACATTGTCTCACCTTTCATTTTCTGGATGAATCTTTTGTTTTTGAATAGGAGAAAGACAAGAGGTTTACCTGTTTCATGCAATGAGCTATTTCATACAGCAAGCTTAGAAACTAGGCTGTTGATGAGGGTGGCAAATTTAGAGATTGATACTACCTGGTGAAGATAATTCAAAACCACTTTGAATCAAGACAAAAGAATAGATGATGGAGATAGAAGGAATAATGAGAATGTTTATAAGACTTTTCTGGGGAGCAAATGATAGATGTGCATAGTTACCCGCAACCAGTTGGTGGTTCCATTCCTTCATAGTATAGTTTAATGTTGATTTGAAATATTATATTGTTTCCTTAATTTAGACTCAACAAAGAGTTTTTTTATCCTTTTTTTTTTTCGGCTGAGGTGGCTTTTGACAGGGAAACACTTAGTTAATGCTTGTAATAGATCTATTTGAAAATTTATGTTATTAAGATTCCCTGTTTTACTCAAAATTTTTAGAGCTTTAAACCATAGTGTTTGAAGATAAAGATTTTTTACTATGCTAATATGGATAACTACATCCTTATATTTCTTGCCAATGCAACTTATGATGGATGAATTGTGTAATTTCGTCATTATTTGCTGATTGACTCTTCACTCACCAGTGCTACAGCAGGCAGTATTCTTGATAGGGATATTGAAGTAGAGGACAGGAAGCATGGAGACTTTCTGAGGCTGGTATTGTCGTTTTATCATGTGTCTCTTTCACTTTTTTGTTATTTGCATTAGACAAAAATTAACCATGCTCGCCTCCCACCAGGTGGTGCTTTTACTGGTGAGATTAGGTATGATTTATATACATTCTGTATCTTCTGTAATGCTGTAATACTTAAGTTTTGATGTATGAGTTGTTGAAAGCACTGATTTGATACTCATGTGAGGTTTACACACNAATGCTGTAATACTTAAGTTTTGATGTATGAGTTGTTGAAAGCACTGATTTGATACTCGTGAGGTTTACACACTGATGGAGTGGCTCAAGGAAATGGGATAAGAACCCGTTTTCATCTCATGCATTAATTCTTGAAATGAATGTGTTTTGCATGCATCAAATTCTTGCCATAGTCATTATTTGTGGATACAAAATGTTAATCCTTCAAATTTAGACTTATAATTTACACAATATTAGTCACATATTTCTCTCTATACCCCTCCCCCTTTATTTTCATGTTTTTAGTTATGATGCTTGAGTGATATATGCTCATGCAATATGCTTGCACACTCTTTTCATGTATATTCTTTATTTGCACTTCTTTATTGCTATTGTGATAAAGTTAACCCTTAATCAGCTATCCAAACAAACATGTGCTACGGAAATAGTAAATCAGTGTACCTTCTATGAATGTTTCGGGGTTGTCGATACTCTGACCTAAGTCCAAGCAAAATTGAGGTTGGGTTTTGGCTTTTCTATTCAAGCCCAAGCCTAAACATTGAAGTTTTGGAGTGGCTTGCTTCGGCCTTTTATATTACGTGCTAATCAGTATGATATTCTTGGGGAGTATGGCACATCTGTAAATATATGAAAATGTGAAATTGTGACTTTTTTCTGGTTTGAGTGGATCAAATATGGGTTCCATTGTTGTGAATGGTGCACTGTCAGCCTTGGGGTTAAAGCCAGTTGGTTTATTATTTCTATTGCATGTCAGTAGCAGTCATTTGGACATTCCTCACTAGCTAATAAGAGCACAATCCAAGGAAAAAGAGTTTGTTAGTTAAACGCGATGGACTAGCCATATAGAATATTTGTTTGACTATGACTGTAGAATCTTACTGATTGAGGGGTTATCAACTGGTTTGCTTTAATATGGGTTAACTTGGTGTCGGTTCTTCAACTTCTAGCTCAGCTTTAGTATCTCTTTTGGTTCATGTGATTGCAGAATTTGTTCCTGAATTCATCTGTAATCATGTCGTCGTCCTGTGCAGCTCAAAATTTTTCATTGAAAAAATTTAAATTAATGTCTCTTGCATGCACAGTGCTGAGATGCTTCTCAATCTAAGCATTCCTTGGGTCATTATCAGCCATTCTGAAAGGAGGCTTCTGTTAGGTGAATGACACAGTAACTATCTGCTTTTAAGGATTCTAATGAGAACATTGATTACGTATCACAACTGCGGATCCTTTCCTCATTTTTTGATAACTGGCAAATCAATTTCATTTCAGTTTGTTGGAGACAAGTTGCATATGCCCTGGATCGAGGTTTGAAGGTAATAGCTTGTGTTGGGGAGACCCTTGAGCAGCGAGAATCAAGATCGACTATGGCTGTTGTTGCTGCACAGACTAAGGCAATTGCAGGTAAATTTTTCATTACTATGTGCAAAACAACTATTGCAGTCAATTACACTCTTATGCTCAGTTTTAGAAGCTTCTGTATTCTAGAAGTGTCCTTGTGACTTTTTTTGTTTCACACCATCATTTAGTTGTCTTTTTCGTAAACTTGGTGGTAACTTGTCACTTGTGTTACCACTTACCAGATTTATTAGTTACATAACTTTTTTTAGTAATTAAGAAGTGGTTATCTAAAATCTAAAGAGTGTAACTATTCAGTAGAGGTTGCATTTTTGTTGATAACTTCAATATGAATGTTGGTTGATATGTTGAGGAGCTTGATTTTGAATTATGTGGTAGCCTTTGATTTATAAACCAATCTAATATTGCTTCAAACCTAAAATTTTTGCTTTGTGTTTATGGGATTTTGATTTCTTTTGTCTTTTTTATAACCTATCTCACTCTTTCGAAAAATGACAAGGAATGAAAAGATCAACCTCGTAAATGTGTCGGTTCAGAAAATTTCTTTTGAAGTGTTATCAATTTGTCATTTTGGCTATTGTTTTCTAGATACTGACAAAAGATGTGAAGCATATGGTTTTGTTCTTTCTTCATGTTCCTCTACTTAATTATGTTCTCATATTCCATTGTATTAAAGAAAGATAATTGTAACGCTCCCAAAGCCACCTTGGATGGCATCACAATCTAAACCATTAACCGCATGAGAGCAACTAAATAAATCCATCATTAAAGAACCTCTCATTCATCAAATATAACATTAACAATATCATCCAAAAAGAATAGGCCATCCATGACTATTATATCCAAAAGAATATGTCAGGGTATGACCATTACATCCCAAAAAGAATCAAATTTAACTTGCAACGGAATTACAAAAGGTTAGACTTTACATAGTCTCAAAATAAATTCTCTAGTCTAGAATAGGAGAGGATATAACTCTAGACGGCCATCTCGGGTTCCACGTTCCCTTTTATTGGAGCTTTCCAATGTGCTTGTTCATCTACTCCTAGCTCCTCTTCTAGCATAGTCTGAAAAATATGTTGTTTGTAGGGGGTGAGCACTAAGTTCTGTAGTAACGNAACTCTAGACGGCCATCTCGGGTTCCACGTTCCCTTTTATTGGAGCTTTCCAATGTGTTTGTTCATCTACTCCTAGCTCCTCTTCTAGCACATAGTCTGAAAAATATGTTGTTTGTAGGGGGTGAGCACTAAGTTTTGTAGTAACANCTACTCCTAGCTCCTCTTCTAGCATAGTCTGAAAAATATGTTGTTTGTAGGGGGTGAGCACTAAGTTCTGTAGTAACGTTCTCCCAAACTCAAACAGGTTTAGAAAGCATGCAAAACAGTCTGTCTCATTTTACAAATATCATAGACATAGCTTTTGAGGAAAAATAGGGACAATTCGATATCAAGTTTACACCATAACAATAAGTTAAATGAAAGGAACAAATTAGTGAAGAAATCAATTTAGTCATGTAATAGCATCATCTCATATTCTCATGTATGTTGGTTGCTTCCCATGAATCTGCACTTCGATTCTACCTCGTTCATCCACCACAATCACACAATCCCCAAATATTTTAGGAAGGGCGTATACCATCTCTCACGACATTGACGAATCCTTCCTAAGAAAGGTATACCATCTTTTAGCTTCGAACTTACGTGAACAATAGTGGTTGCTCTCACAAACAATAAACCACTACAAGTATTAGGAAACCATCGCACCCTCACTGGGATAAACTAACCTCTAACATNTCCCCAAATATTTTAGGAAGGGCGTATACCGTCTCTCACGACATTGACGAATCCTTCCTAAGAAAGGTATACCATCTTTTAGCTTCGAACTTACGTGAACAATAGTGGTTGCTCTCACAAACAATAAACCACTACAAGTATTAGGAAACCATCGCACCCCCACTGGGATAAACTAACCTCTAACATTCTACGACAGTGCTCGAATGCAATTCAAGTCTATCACAACAACCATACAAGAGATGTAATCACAAATATTTTCTCAAATCACAATAAAATCCAAAATCCCCAATTTCCATAATGTGCATTACAAAAGCACAATTCAAGAAAATAAGTAAGAGATCATCACAAATATCATTTGTTGTTTAATACAAAGTACTGGAGTTTTTTTGAAATTAAGAACGAAGNAGATGTAATCACAAATATTTTCTCAAATCACAATAAAATCCAAAATCCCCAATTTCCATAATGTGCATTACAAAAGCACAATTCAAGAAAATAAGTAAGAGATCATCACAAATATCATTTTTTGTTTAATACAAAGTACTGGAGTTTTTTTGAAATTAAGAACGAAAGAACAATTAAGAGAAAAATCCATTTATCTTGAAAATTAGGGTTTCATGGCAAGAAAAGAGATTTAATGGTTATTCAACCACAGTATTGTTTAAAATATGGTAATAATTGCAAGAATATCAAGAATTAAAGATTTCATAGCATACATACAAGATTTAGAGTTAAAAGAATACATATATATGAGTCCTAACCTCAATGTAAGAGAATATGAGAAACCCCTACCTTGGTGTTCTTGAAGAAATCTAGGGTTTTGATTCAATCCAAGTCGCAAATCCTTTTTGATCTTGTGTTTTTCTCTTCATTTTTTATTCTCTAAGGATTTCTAGGGTTTGAGGTGTTGAAATGGGGCTAATGAAGGCGTCATTATGTATTTATAGGGTGAAAAGTGGACCCCAAATCGCGACTTAAAATTTCTGGAACTTATAGAGCGTACCGGTATGCAGTACCGATACAGTTGATTCTCTAGACAGTAGCGTACCGATATGTTGTACTGGTACGGTAACTTCCGGGTGTATTGGTACGGTAGGTTCAGTTTTTTCTGTTTCTTTTGTTTTTCATTTCTAATCCATTCAAAACCCTTCTNTCTTCATTTTTTATTCTCTAAGGATTTCTAGGGTTTGAGGTGTTGAAATGGGGCTAATGAAGGCGTCATTATGTATTTATAGGGTGAAAAGTGGATTCCAAATCGCGACTTAAAATTTCTGGAACTTATAGAGCGTACCGGTATGCAGTACCGATACAGTAGATTCTCTAGACAGTAGCGTACCGATATGTTGTACTGGTACGGTAACTTCCGGGTGTATTGGTACGGTAGGTTCAGTTTTTCCTGTTTCCTTTGTTTTTCATTTCTAATCCATTCAAAACCCTTTCAAAATCAACCCAAACTTATATAATATACATTTGGACATCAAACATAGTTGGTACAAGTTCGATTACAAAAAAAAAAAATTTTTTTTTTTGTACTTTGCTATATATTAAAATAAAAGTGTGAGGGTTTACAATAATAGCATAAAATGAAGAGGATATAGTCAGTTGGACGGCTTTGTGTTTTCCTTATAGTAATTTTTTTTATTCTTTTTCTTTCGACTTCTACTGCCAATTCTTTGGAATTAGCTTTTCTTGGTTACTAGGGTTTCTGAGATTTTGATTGGGACTGGCCCGCTGGCCCTAAAAGTTAGAACTTGTTGAATTGGCAGAGAAATTGTCACCTTACAACACAATTATTATTATTTTTTTTCTCCAATTATTTATCGACTACTGCCAGTGTATGCATTTTAATGTACTATTTTTTTGCAATATTCTTTAGTATGTTTCTTATCACTTCTTTTTAAGATGGTTGCGACGCAAAGCTACTTGGATTGCTGATTTATTGGTCTTTGCAAGCTACTTGGAACAAAAACATTCACTTTGTTTTTGGTGTTTAAATACGAATTTTAGTTAAATGTGAGTTTGGATTATAGTACCTATGATATTTAATAGTGTTTTATAGTATTTGGATTTTAATGCTTTGATTTGTTCATGTGGTATTTCGGTTTCAACTAATTGGCTATGATTATGCTTTTCGATAACTAATTGATTTTTCTTTTTCTTAATCATGAGTATATGAATTTAATGGCATCGAGTAGCCATATTTTTAACCACCAGTCTTTGATATTGATGTTGCGTAATTTCTCTTTTAAACAATTTCATAGACCTGAACTGGTTTACTACGTTTTGTTATTTTACTATTTGGTTATTTAAACAATTTTAGGAGGAAAGGATCCAAGATCGCGCTAAATTCGTTTAGGAGGATGGGGAAGAGGAAATTTATAATAACACAAGTGTGAAGATTGCTCTAAAATTGCTTGAGCAGGTTTCTTGGTACTTGGTCACAACTATGGAGTTGGGAAAACTTAGGTTCGAGATGCCACCGGAACTTTGCAGCTTGGAGTAACTTGGAAGTGTAACTTTTGTTCCCTTTGTTTCTTTCTAACTTTATGTTATCTTTTCTTGAAGTAAAAATGGTTGTGGGGAAAACTTTTTTGGATAAAATATTTGCCTACAAACTTGGGTGCATTTTCTATTGAAGAGTTATATTGCTTATAATGTTTTGTTTGAGTTTTCTTTTGTATGGTTTGTGATGAATTTTTGGTAGATTTTTTTTGTTGTTGTTTAGGTACTATATGCTCTTGAAAGTTGTGGATGGTTTGGTTTGGTTTAGTCCTTGCTTGGAGGATTTGCTAAGAGTAATTTTTAATCGAGTATTATTTTAGTTAATTCATAATTATTTTTGTTTCTTTATGTGTTTTTTTTTGGTTGATATATGTAGTTTATATGTCATTTTGTTGTGTGATTGAAGTTGTTTGAGACTAAAAATTTTTATGAATTATTTTTAATTTTTTTGAGAAAATGGTTGTACTATACAATTTTATGTTTGACCTGCCACTTGTTCAATTATTCATTTGGTACATTTGTTGTGGTTAGTTCATGTAGGAGCAATAGTTTTCGGTTGCTTTAGATTCGTAAAAAGGTCATATTGTTTACATTTTAATTACATTCATTTCATTTGGTGCCTGATTTTTTGGTAAAGATGTGTGTCCATGTTCGGTGCCTGATTTTTTGTATGCATGATCAATTTTTTATTTTTTTTAAATGGTACAGTGCCTTCAGGCACGAGTTATTATTTTTCAATTATGTATACAA